TGGTAATCAAGGTGGGCCATGTCCAGCACAAATCCAGGCTTAGGGAAAAGAGGAAGCTGGCTCTGAAGACTGAAAGAAAAGAGACACCAGGCTATTTCAGGAAAGAGAAAGAAAAAGCGGAGGGCAGCCAGGAAGGGAAAAAAGGAAGAGCAGCAGCAAAAGCGAAGGAGGAACCCACAACGATCGTCAAACAGGGCTCGGCAAACCCTCGTTTCACTGCGAATGGCTGATCGATGGATTTGAAACGGGTTTTTTTGTGGTGTTTGACCAGCGCGGTAGATAGCAAAATCCTCTCCGGCAAAGAGCCTGTTAGCGTAGGTCTACGCAGAGCTAAAAGGTCCACAGCGCAGCCACAGCTGGCCCAGGCTCACGAGGTGGAGCTAAAATTTGCTGTGTAGAGACTCGGGCTCAGGCTAGCCCATTGTAGGCCCTAAGCAGGAATATTTCCTCCCCCGCCAACACATATTTGAAAAGCAACTGGGGGACCCCGGAGCTGCTCAGGGCCCTAAGCAATTGCTTAGTCTGTTTATTCCTAGCGGCGGCTTTGCCCTCCACCCTTACAGGGTCCCAGAGCTCCAGCTGAAGCATCTACACAGCTGACCCAGGGCAAGCGGCGGGTTCTTTACCCCTGTGTAGACGTACCCTTCATTTCCTACCAGCGGTGTTTAAATTGACTGAGCGCAAGCCGGCAGATGCTGGCCAGCCAGCCTGAGGAGGGGATTAGAGTTAGAGGTCTTTTTCTTTTTTTAAAATCCTCCCACGCCCTCAGAGCGTCCGCCGGCATTCGCCGTGCGTTTTGGTCTCCTGCCGGTGTGTCCAGGCTTCCAAGCGGGTGGTTGATGGATGTGGCTTCCTCTGCAGTCTTCTGTGTAATGTTTCTCTAGGTCGCCCGCGTTGTCTCTTCCCAGGGGGTGGCTGTATTGTCCCGAAAGCCCGTCCTAAACGTACCCATTGCCAGCCTCTTGCCACGCTGGAGGCTGTAAGCTCACCTGCAGGCGTTTCGGGAGGGCTCAACGAGCTGAGTTACGCTCCGGTTACATAACCAGTGTGTCTGCAAAGCAGAGCGCGGCCACAGCGGGCAGGGAAAGGGCAGCTGGAAGGTGTCATGGGGCGGACAGGCCCAGCTAGCTCCAGCACCTGGCTGGGAGCGGACGGCTGGCACAGAGCCAGGCTGAAGCTGCCGGAGCATGTCTGCCCTGGGCCGGGCAAGCCGGGCCGGACAACCGAGCCTCGGGCTGCCAGCTCAGCTACACCCACCTACCCCGAAGGGAGAGGGGCGGGGGGACACCGGGACCTGCCATGGAGCAGGCGGGAAGGAACAGCGGGTGTGCCCGATGCCAAGGGGCACCCGGCCCGGCCCAGGGACCTCACCCGGCCCGGCCCGCCTCCGTGGGCCACCGCACCCCACGGACCTCACCCGGCTCACCCCTGGGCCAGGGCACCTCACCCGGCCCACCCCGGGCCAGGGCACCCGACCCGGCCCGCCCCCTCGGGCCCCCAGCCGGCCCAGGGCCCCCGACCCGGCCCACCCCAGCCCAGGGCCCCCGGCCCGCCCCCTCGGGCCCCCAGCCGGCCCACCCCGGCCCAGGGCCCCCGGCCCGCCCCCTCGGGCCCCCGACCCGGCCCACCCCAGCCCAGGGCCCCCGGGGCCGCCCCGCCGCACTCACCGGCCCGGGGACCCCGCGGAGCCGCCTGCAGTTCCGGGTCGGGGCCGCGTGTCCCCGCCCTCGGGGCGGGGGCGGGGCCGGAGCCGGCGCGGGGGGAACCCGGGGTGGAGTCACCCCAGGTCCGGCCCCGGCGGCAGAGCGGTGCCGCCCCGCGCCCGGACCCGGCTCGTCCCTCGCTGCTAAGGGCGGCGGGACGCCCTGGAGCCGCGTCCGCCCCGCGGGAAGTCCCGGCCCGCCAGGGCCCCTGTCCGCCCCGCGCCGGCTCTCCCCTGGCCCCGGCGGGGCGTCCCCTCCCTCGCCCCCGTGCAGCGGCCACCGGCCCTGCCCGGGGCAAGCGGCGGAGCCCCGCGGCGTCCTGTGGCCCCCGCGCCCCTTGCCTGGAGCTGCCGCGCTCCGGGCCCTTTCTCCGAGCCGAAGGAGACTTGCTCCGTGGGGCTCAACGCGCTGCCTCGCTCCGCAGATGGTTTTCTTAACCCTCACCCACCTTGTCTCGCCGGTAGCGTCAGCAGCCGTACCTCGGTCCATCCTTTCGGCCAGCACTGCCCGTGCGGGTGGCAATATGCGTTGCTAATGCTACATTTGTCTTCGGTTTTTTCCAACACCGAAGTTTATTCTTTGGGATCATGTGACTTTAAGGCAGCCGGCCTTCCACGGCTCCTGCGGAAACTTCTTCAGTTTCCTCTGAGCCCCCAAGGGGATCTGTTGCCTTTGTCAGCTGTTGTTACCTTTCTCTCCAGCAGCAGGCCGTGTTTTTTCACATCATCCCTTGTGTGTAAACCTCGGTTCTCAAATATTCACTAAAGGCTGCTTCTCCGTGGCAAATTTCTACTAAATACAGATCTACAACCCCCCCCCCCCCCGCCCGGAGTAACCTCAAGACTGCAAATCTCAGGAGTTGTGCACCTGAAAGTAATTAAATGAAATAAATACAGTTTGGGTTCTTTTAATTTGCCTTTTTGGTTCTGGGCCTGTAGGCGACACAAGCTTGGATGCTTCTGCTGTTACCTCCCTCAAAGAATCCTAGAATACTGTGTTGGACTTCCAGTAACATGATTCCCCTTCTGCCCTGTAACTTATTAAAAATCCTTATTTCTGTAAGTAAGCCCCATCCTGCCACCACTGAAGTTGTACACTTCACTCTGTTACTTTATTTGTTGCATACATAAATAACTGATTTTTCTACAGAATTGCTCATATTTTTAAATGCATATTTTAATTTCATAGCCTTTGATGTAGGCTACATATTTTATGATACATTTCAATGATCTTCATTCCCACAAGTTGACTATGTACTGGCAAAATCAAAGGGTTGAAAACTTGTTCAATATGCGTAACACTGACAATGAGAGGTGCAGTGTCTATATAAGGAACAACAGTAAATGTTCTGCCTCATAGATTGTGTTTAAAAGGTATCCGTAAGTATTCCATCTACCGTTTACAATGCTTTGCACTAGTTTTGGTGTGCATTAACTGTTTGTTTACTATAGAAACTCCATGGCCTAATCTACAATGGACAGAGACAAAGAAACAACAATACCTCCCTTCAAGGTTTTACATACAAGATGCCTGAGGTTTAATGCTGTACAACGCTTGTCCAAAGTACAAAAGTGTGTGTGTTTGTGCGTGTACAGTAGCCAACTGCTACAGACTAGGGCCCGAGGAGCTAGGCAGCAGTTCGGCAGAAAACGACCTAGGGGTTACAGTGGACGAGAAGCTGGATATGAGTCAACAGTGTGCCCTTGTTGCCAAGAAGGCCAAGGGCATTTTGGGATGTATATGTAGGGGCATTGCCAGCAGATCGAGGGACGTGATCGTTCCCCTCTCTTCGACACTGGTGAGGCCTCAGCTGGAGTACTGTGTCCAATTTTGGGCCCCACACTACAAGAAGGATGTGGAAAAATTGGAAAGCAGTCCAGCAGAGGGCAACAAAAATGATTAGGGGCTAGAGGGAACTGGGATTGTTTAGTCTGCAGAAGAGAAGAATGAGGGGGGATTTGATAGCTGCTTTCAACTACCTGAAAGGGGGTTCCAAAGAGGATGGATCTAGACTGTTCTCAGTGGTAGCAGAAGACAGGACAAGGAGAAGTGGTCTCAAGTTGCAGTGGGAGAGGTTTAGGTTGGATATTAGGAAAAACTTTTTCACTAGGAGGGTGGTGAAACACTGGAATGGGTTCCCTAGGGAGGTGGTGGAATCTCCTTCCTTAGAGGTTTTTAAGGTCAGGCTTGACAAGGCTCTGGCTGGGATGATTTAGTTGGGATTGGTCCTGCTTTGAGCAGGGGATTGGACTAGATGACCTCCTGAGGTCCCTTTCAATCCTGATATTTTATGACAGATGAACCGCCATCCACCACAATTTGACAGAAGATAGGGAAAGGTGAGGTAGCAAATTGGGACAGGGCAGCAAGAGAATACCTTGATGTCAGTAACTGCTAACAATAGCAAACTGACACCAGCCCTGGAAACCCACTTTAAGGGAAGCATGGGGGTGGCAGGGAGCATCCCAGGGCAGCTCTAGCACTTAAGCCAAGCCCTGGTTCCCTGTGGGACTGTCTGTGGCTCAGTCCTTCACCCCCTTCCCCACAGGGAAAGACCATGGGGGGGGACAGTGCTTGCCCCAGCCCCCATGGCAGAGGGACTAGCTCAGGACCCCCTTTTTCATGGCCACCTATGAACTAGTTGCTGCCTGCTCCCATTAGTCAGCACTCAGCCCTAGTCAGGGGAAGGGGGAACAGGTTCCCCATGGCCCAGGACCAAGGTCTGCTCTCAGCTCTGAAGGGAGGGTGGATCCATACCCAGTTAGTTACCTGTACAGGGCTCTTCAGCATAAAGCAGGCCAGTGCGCTCCGGCTTCAATTGGTTAAGAGCCAGGAGATGCTAAACCCAGATAAGATGCCCTTAAACTGAATGTTTTTGAGCCCCCGCTCCCACAGCCAGGCACAGAGCAGACTGCACCTCCGCACAGGTGTGCGGGGCAGAGCACATGCACAAGAAATGGCCCTGCTGGCCTCTGTCCCTAATGGTTAGAGCTCCAGGAGCGAGCTGGGACACAGGCCCCAGCCCAGCCAAGGATTGACTCATTTCTTGGTCCGACCAGTGGATATGTCCACACAAACAAAACTGACAATTCTAAAATGCTCAGACTAACCCCAACTATAGACCGGACGCAGCTGGTGAACAGCGGCAGGACCAGGAGCCCCCTGGACGTGAGGGCATCGTGTCTTGAGGCGTGCAAGCCAGCAAGCCCAGCACCCCGCTAAAGTACCCGGAGGGCGGCTAATGCAGAAATGGCCAACTGGACGACGCTTGGTTGTGCTCAAGGGCTGACAGGAGGCTCTGAAAGGTTCAGTTTATTCACTCCGAGAACACTGTACAAATATTACAGGCAATTTTCTTTTGCTGCAAAAGGTATAAAAATAATCTTTATATACGAATCCAAGTTCATTTGTTACCGTAAATTCTCACTAAATATCTTTTCCAAACATCATCTAACTGATGGCAAGAAATCAACAGCTTGAAGGAGAGAGCAAGGCCAGGCAGTACAGAGAGAACTCTAGCTACTCACAAAGGCCATGGAGTCTAGGCTAATGCACACCCTGGCCCCCCAGGTTCCAAGCAGCTCCCATGCAAAAGAGGAGAGATGTTTAGGAACTGATGCATGTGGATCTGGAGGTCTGTTGTCCCTCTGGGACCTTCATCTCTCTCTCCAGTGCTAGCTGCTCACTGCTGGCAGCTGAACCAGAAAAGGAGACACCCTGGCCGCAGCCTGCTCCTCTAGGGTTTCCAATGCTTGTTCCACACGGGATCTCCCGACTCATTCCCTCTCGCTGGACAGCAGTCAGGGCCAGCTCTGTCCTACAGAGGGACCAGGCGGCTGATGGGAGCAGTCAACCGTTGGGGGGGGTGGGGGGGGGTGACAGCTGCTAGAGGATAGCCTGTTTGCTGAGAGCAGCAGCATTTCTAGATCCAGCCCCAGTGTTAGCAGCTCTGCGGCCAGCAGAAGCAGGAGAGCAGCTGCAGTCGGATGTTCAAGAAAGGTGCAAAGCGAACATTTTCTCAAATCCAGAATCAGGGGAGGTAGAGCCTGGCAAACACAGTGCAAACCCAGAGACAGACTGCACCACCTGCAGAGGGGCTTTCTATTCCAACGACCAAAATTCAGAGGCAGAGAGGCATGCGAGGCAGAGAACCTCGCATTGCCAAAAGTTACAGGAGACCTTCCATTAACAAGCGATGAGGAAAAGCTGGGCGGGAGGGGGGAGACACAGAGAGAGCATCACACCAGGTAGCACCCTGCCACCAGATCAGGAAGGGAAAGCAAAGGCATAGGGCCACAGGGGAAGGACCCCTAACACACTGGCAAGCCCGGCCCTGGAGCAGATGCTTGGTCTGCCTCAGAGGTCACTGCTATCTGTACGTCAGCAAAACAGACCCAGCTTGTCATGGCAAAGTGCTACCGAATGGGTCCACCTCCGCCTCCTGCCACACCGACCCAGGCTCAAGTGTGAGGTGGGGAGAACAGATTGATTCCCAGATGTCAGAAAAAATGGCCCCTCAGCACAGCTCCAGGGTGGGGAGTGCGAACAGAGCCTCTTCATGCATCAGCACAGAGGTTTAACTAACAAGGCCTAATTGAGGGGGGGGGGGAGGGGGGGGGAGGCGCAAATGCATGACTCAACTCAGCTGCCAATTGCTTTTCACTTGTCAAATGAACTAGCTGGAGTCACTGAGGACCAGAGCTCACAGGGCCAATTTTCACAGCCAAGCGTGACCACCCTACTTGGAGAGGAGTCAAGGCTGCCGCACACTGACAGGCTCAGCTAACTGGGCTTGGAGCTGACCATCATACTATGACGCTGTCTAGCAGCTGATGCCTAGGAGATGCAAAGTGCCTCTGGAAGTGCAGGAAATCCAAGGCATGCGGGTGGGAGGAAGCTCTGAGAGGCACATGGGCAAAGCTTTACGGGGAAGGTTCAAACACGGAGCCTGTCAAAAGAGGCCTAGGATCCAGTGGAGAGACAGAGACGCAGCAGGGTGAGGTAACTCGAGGACGCCGTGTTGCACACGCCAGAAGAGAGACGCTACGGCGAGGCTCCCAGTCCGCAAGTCCATGTCTTGGTTCTAGTCCGGCCAAGAGCCCCTCTGACTCTCATCCAGCAGTAGCACAAAAGGCATCCGAAGAGCGAGACTTTCCAAAGCCAGCTACAAGACAGTCCGTTCACCAGCCCGGCCGCTGCACCGGGGAGTCAGAGGTTGAGGATAGGCACGTCGAAGAGGTCGCAGACGCCCTCGCTCTCATCCAGGTTGTAGATGTAGTCGTGGTCTCCAGGGGGAGGGGAGAGGCGGAGCAAGGGAGCAAATACTGTTGAAGAGAAAGCAGGGTCATACTGTTCACAAGCCTAGGGACATCCCACCTACCACCCTGACTGGAGCCTCCAAGCCCTGTCACAGGGAGACCTCAGCTCACGCATCCCACTCACAGAATCGCAGAAGATCAGGGTTGGAAGGGACCTCAGGAGGTCATCTAGTCCAACCCCCTGCTCAAAGCAGGGCCAATCCCAATTTTTTGCCCCAGATCCCTAAATGGCCCCCTCAAGGATTGAGCTCACAATCCTGGGTTTAGCAGGCCAATGCTCAAACCACTGAGCTATCCCTCCCCCCTTCTCAGGGGAGGAAGCTGAGGGCAGAGTCTGTCCCAAGAGTACTTCTGCCTGAGGCGAGGCGGGACTGAGCGCAAGACAGTGCGGGGCTGCCCCTGAATGCCCAACGTTGTACAAACGACAGCCACCCTCCCTTCCCCCAGCCCCAAAGAGTTCAGAGGCAACAAAACCCAGCAACTCACCTTCAGATGACATCAGCTCTTCCAGCAGTTCGGAGTTCATACATTCTGGGGGGGAGACAGCAGGGTGAGGGGCACACTCTGCTTTGCAGTGCCTAGTCTTGCTTTTCCTCAATACCCTTCCCCTCCTCCCTTCCCCAAGTTCTTTCCTCCCAGTATCATGGAAGCCAAATCACAGGCCTGAACTACAGGTAGCTCTGGAGCAGACAAACAGGAGCTCAGGACTCGAGCCATTAACTCCGTGGCAGAGGGAAACTGGGGTGGTCAGCAGGCATCAAATGGGCCAAAAAATCCTGCAAGATTCTTGTGCCTGCTCCAGCATGACAAACTGTGGGTGGAGCCTCATCCCTGCGACGGCGCCCCCAGCTGGCCCAGGTCTGGGACAGTACCAGTACCATATTCCAAACACTTCTTTAAAAAGAGACTGCAGCAAAAGTGGCTAAAGTTGGCCCACTGAAACTTGGCAAGTTTGCAGTCCTCACTGAGGACAGGTGACTTTGCTTGCATGTGTAGGGGCAGGGGATTTACTGGGGAGGGAGACATTAAAAATAAAAACTAAGCAATTTTAAACACGTCTGATCACTGTCTCTCTCCATTAACGAAGACAGTCATCAAAACGTATAAAGTCTGCTGCAGTTTCCACGGTATGCATCCGATGAAGTGAGCTGTAGCTCACGAAAGCTCATGCTCAAATAAATTGGTTAGTCTCTAAGGTGCCACAAGTCCTCCTTTTCTTTCATCAAAACGTGAACAGGTTTGGATTTAAGCTGCGCCCATGTGCACCTAAAAAGAGATTTTACCAACTAGCCCTTAGGACAATCAATACTCCTGGAAAGCCACATCCAGGATGCGTTGCTTCCCCGCTCCCCAGAAGATGGTCTGCAAACAGCCGCAGAAGCACTGCCCCTCCCCAAGCCAATTCAGCATGGTGAAGAGGGAATTGCAAAACCAAAACCATGCAGGATTTTTTCCCTTTTCCTTAAAAAAGGGGAAATGAAATAAAATCTGCGTCGTTCAGTCTCCTACAACAGCGGTAACACGGGCACTACCAAGATCCTGCTTACTTGGTGGGATGTTTGAAAACCAAACAGTAAGCTATGAAGTCACACATATAAACTGAAAAACAGGACGACTCCTGTACTTCCTCTGCACACCAGTGGGTAGGAACTTTAACTGTGCAGCCCTCAGTACCAAACCAGCACCCAGGCCATGTTACTGTTAGAACGCAGAGAAATGAGGGTCGGAGGCATATTTGCTGCTGGCCCCATCTGTCTGGATCCTGTAGTCACTGCGCAAGTCAAACCCTATGCTTTGACACTGCACAAACCAGTTGTTTTAAAGAGACTGTTCTATGGACGTCTCACCAGCAGCCCCCTGAGGTCAACTGCATGGGGACTATGAAAACTGCACCTTTCCCCCGCTGCTGCATTTACCTTCCCTGCAGGATCTGGGGCACAGAACAGGGAATACTCATCTACTGCGGGCACTGGTATGGTGCTCACTGTGTACCGGCACAGCACACATGCTTGACTATCTGCCAGCAGTGGGCTAGGAAGGGCAGGCTGGGGCGCTGTTTGTCTGGCCCATACGGCACAGCGTGATTTACCACCTGGTTGCATTTCACCTGTGTCACACGCATGCTCTGGTGGTGGGAGCCCAAAGCACAGAGGGGTGCTGGACATGTGGATTTAGCACAGAGGGTTTCATGGGCCCCTGGCAGAGTCTGTCCTGGGAGCTCACAACATGTCACTGAAGCCCGCCCGGCAGGCCTGGGAGGGCGAGTGGAGCACTTCCCGGGGAGACCGGTCTTGTGCGGTGACCTGCTGAATGGCAGCGGGACACTCTCTATGTGCTGCACTTGGTCATCATGCCCCACCACTGCAAAGCAGCGGCATGTGCTCAGGCCAGCTGGCATTTGCAGAGCAAGGCTCGGAAGCACCATGCCAGGGGCTCAGGAGAGCAGCTCCGGTGAGAAGAACCAGCAATGTTGCCTACATTAGATTGACTTTCTTCGCGTTCCCCACCCTTGGTACTATTGTTTCAGCTGCATCACTCAGCGCTGCGGGGGATTAGCCAATGGCCCCAGGCTTTTTAACCCAACCCTGGTGCCAACTGGACAGCCTCTGAGCTGAGAGCCACAAACCCCCATGCCCAGTCTTCAGCAGCACCAGTACAAGCCCTGTGGGGGATTGCAGAGATCAGAGTCTAATCTAGGCCGGTCCCCCACTCCATAGATTATTTGCATACGCGAGCCCTGTGCACACAACAATACCAGCAGGGTCTGTCTTATCACCCTGTTCCAGACGCTACAGATCAGACGGGGTCAGGCAGGAGTAGGGTGACCAGATGTCCCAAATTTAAAGGGACAGTCCCATTTTTGGGGACTTTTTCCTAATAGAGGCACCTATTACCCCCCACCCTGTCCCGTTTTTCACAGTTGCTGTCTGGTCACCCTAGGCAGGAGGGGAGCCCAGGGCAAAATCTTACGTTAGTAAGGGGGTGGGGGTCGAGGGGGAGATTTAGTCCATGCCTGACGCGCTAGCAATAACCATTTGTTGGCAGCAGTGGTCACTAGTACACACAGTGGCAGTCTGAACAGATTAACAGCTGTCATCCCAGAGGCCTCCAGCAGAGGTCGCTCAGCACCTAGTAAGCACAGAGACTGCAGGGGCCAGCAACAGGAACAGCTAGTCATCAGCCTGACAGAACCAGGTCCCTGGAGGAATCCGAAGGGACTCCTCTGCACAGCCTCCTTCTTGTGCCAAGGACCAGCAGAGGAGAGCTGAGAAAGGGAGGGAGGACAGAGCCCTTCTGCCCTGAGCACCAGGTGGGCAGGCAGAGGGGAACAGGGGTAGGGAGGGATCAGTGTACCTCGTGTTGGATCAAACATCTCCGAAAGTTCTTTGGGAAGTTCCAGCACTGTAAAGACAATGAACCAAACTGGTTGGCATTGCGCCATACAAGGTCTGAAATACAACAGCACACGCCAGCCCTGCCTAGGGCCCCCATCCTCAGTCCTGCCCCAAATCACCCACATTGTGGCCCAGCACACTTCCCAGTACGCATTCTCCCAGCACACTGCTTGCCATCCATCCGAGTTCCCGTGACTGGGCGTGACACATCCAGGCAACCACCAACCCACATCCCTGGAGGAGAACACCACCCCCTGCTCGGAAACGGGGGCTCTGTAGAGGGAGGGTCCCAGACTCAGAGAAACGAGAGAGGAAGTAACCCATAAGAGCTAGCCCCCCTGCCTGCCTGGACAGCTTGCTCCCATACAGTGACAATGCCAGACAACATGGCAAGCTGAACCTAAAGTGGGCACCAGGAGCCCTGCATTCCCTGCAGCAGCTTCATTTACACTAAAAAGCTGAAGGTTTACTACTCTCGGAGCGGTTGTTCCAGGCTGTATGCAGACTCATGAACACAAAACTGCAGCAGTGACACCTGGGTCATGTTTTCAAGGCTCCCTTCACAACCAGGAGGGCAAGACATGTTTTCCCCCCTGAACATCAGCTCAGCTTCGGGAGCACAAGTCTATGTCAAAGGGAGGAGGAGCACACAGAGTTCTGCTCACCTAGTGCTCTGTCCAGCCTGGCCTTCAGCAAACCAAGCAGCTCCCTGGAGACTATTCCACAGCCAGACACTGGACCCATTCCTTATCTCAGTCTCCCCATTCTTCCTTGTTATACTGCTCTCCAACCCTGGCCCTCCTTCCACCTTATTTCCTAGTCTGTCTGACGCTTTTCACCACAGCCACCTGCACTTCAGTTACAGTCACCAGGACACACCACAAACCCAGTCAGCAAGGCCTAAACCTTGAGGAGCTCGAACATCTGTGGTTTGCGGAGCCATCAGGTCACATGGTGTGACCCCAACCCCGGGAATCCCTCCCTTGGTCCCTCTGGAGCTCCTGCAGTTCAGCGCTCTGCAAAGCTCTTCCTATCTATGGGCCACTCCGCAAGGCCCCCTGAGCCTCTCGCATTCTTTAACGAACGTGTCCAACCCCAGCGCAGTAGGGCCGAGCTAACACGCACATCATACAGGTGTGGGAACTGAGGCTGAGTGACTGGCTCAGGGTCACACGCGCGGTTTTTAGCGTAGCAGGGAACTGAACCCAGACCCCAGGAGTCCCAGGCAAGCACCCTCGCAACTGGCCCCCGCACCCCCTCTGGCCACAGCCTGGAATACCAGAGCTACAGGGGCGGAGGACTGGTGACGGCGGGGTCTGTGCAATGGCCTGTCTCTCCTGACCAGCCCCATCAATGGAAGCGGTGGAGACTCTCACCCCTCCTCTCCCGGCTCCCCATCGCCTCCTCTCAGCCTGCTTCAGGCACAACAGCATGGGCCGCCTCCCCTGCCACACCCTCTTCTTTCCTCTTCAAACCCTTCCGGCTCAGCCTGTGGAGTTTCTAAGGGCTAGCGATTCAGCACAGGAGCTCCACGCCCGGGGTGACTCCAGCGCCCCCACAGGGCGGCAGGGGAGCTGTGCTCTGGAAACGAGCGTCCGGGCCACTTGTCAGTAAAGAGCCCCCAGCCCTCCTCCACAGAGCCAGGCTGTTTGCAGTGCCTGGCTGTAGTCCAGCTCGGCTTCTCTCAAGTCCCTAGAGGGACACAGCTCCACTTCCAGCTTACACTGCCGCACTGTGTGAAACAGCCGGCAGGTCCCATCCCAGGACAGCCAAGTGATGCCCATGGATCTTTCAGGGGGTTAGCAAGCTTCTGAGTTAATCTCAGCAGAGCAGTGGGAATACCTTAGATGAATGTCCCTACAGAGACTCCGTGTGACTGTAACCTTGAGGAATGGGATGAAATGGAGAGAGAAGAGGGAGGCTAGTTACCAGGAGAACCCTCCCAACAGACTAGGGAACAGTCACAAGGGAATGGCTAAAAGCCCCTCTAGATTGAGGCACTCAACTGGACAAAGGGACTGTTCGGGAGAACCCTACACCCCGGCAGGTAACAGGAGGGATAGATGGGGTCCAGAAGGGACCTGTCGGGTCATAGATCATCTGCTACCAGCGTCAGAACGCAGACAGTAAACAGAGTCTCACCAGAGAGCAATCTCTGCCAGCTTTTTCACCCTCGCCACCACCATGCATGCAGCTACCTTGGATGGGGCAAGGATCTGTCTGCCCCTTCCTTTAGATCCCAGCTTGCAAGGCTTGACTGAGGCCTCTCAGCAGAAAGCAAAGCAGAGGTCAGCCCCTGACTGGGCAGTGCCAACAGCACTTCAGCCCCTTGCCTGCGGCCTGTGAGTCCCCCAGGAGCCCAAGGCCATACTCACTCTCTGTGGGATCTGGCTTGATTGGCTCAAAGGAGGTAGAGGGATTGGGCAGGACGGAGCTGCTGTCTAGCGAGGCAGATGACTGGAGCGGCTGCGTATCTAACACCGCCTGCTGGCTGGCTGGAGTGGCCACTGAGCCGAGAGGGTCGAAGTCGCTGCTGCTCTTGGACTCTGTTGCTGAAACGCTGCAATCTGTTACACACACACAGGGATTTCAGGGGGACTCCAGAATACGTGACCCCAAAGCAGCAGCCACAGCCCCCAGCAAATCCAGCGGCTTTGAGAGCGGAGCCTGGCCTGCCCCCTCGTTAACAAACCTGGCCTAAATGCAACAGACACTGGCATGTCCACAGACAGAGGGCTTTCTGTCTGGTTCTCACTCCCCCTGGACGAGCCTGCGTCCCTAGCGCTCACAGACTCGCTGTCCCAAACCCTCCTACTGCCCCCAGAGGCTGTCACTGCCCCCAGCACCTGCTGGCATCTTGCTGGCTGAGAGCACTGTCTCCATCACACTCCCAGCCTAGCTGGTAGGGAGATAGAGGGGTCACTGCAGCGAGGGGTCGGCCAGCCTGGCCCCAGTCAGCCCAGGGAACAGGAGGTAAGGGCTGGAATTTACTGACTCAGTGCTCTAGTCATTGCACTTCAGCTCCCATATACGCCTGCAGCCCATTGGTCGTGGAAGGCATAGGGCAGAGCAGGGACGATCCAATGGACTAGAGAACAACTCTGGCAGGGGTGAGGGGAAATCCACGTTTAGCTGTATCTGGACGTTCGGAAGCATTCCCATATGAACTCCAAAGTGCTTCTAAAAAGCCTCCCCCATTCCTAGCTGGTACCGTGCCACTTGCCCGGCCACCATCCCACTCCTTGCTCACCTGGGCTCGTTGTTTTCTGTGCAGCCGGGCTGTGGTCCTGAGTGCTGCTTGGTGTCGGCGTGGACGGGTGCGTACTGCTGGGGACAGATGCCTCCTGGAAGTGGTCAACAGGCGACCTCTGTGGTTTAGCAGGCACGACTGGCTGGCACTGAATGAGGTCTTCAGGGGGAGGGACAGGGAGCACCACAGGGGGGGAGCTCAAAGCATCTTTGTTTACGAGGAGGACATCAATTGGACCACTTGTGCTTTTCAGATGGATCTGATATTTCTTCTGTCCATTCAGGCCCTGAGGAAATCAGGGAGCAAAGTACCCAGATAAAATTAACAGCAGTCCTCAAACAGGACTTAAGCTTCCCGGGGCAAGGTCCGTGCTCTGAAATGGCTCAGCATGCTACAGGAGCTCCTCCCTCCCTCAGACAGCTGCTCCCTCTCCTCCCACAGCTACCCTTACTCCAGCACACTTGGAATGATCCTCCTTACCCCAACAGCACAGCAAGCAAGCAATGCTCATATCCTTCCAGTAACTCCAGCCAACCCAGGACACCTCCATCCCAGCCTGATCAAACACCCCCCCCAAACACAGCACCCACCTCCGGAATGGGAACCTCCAACCGAGTGCCTGATGGGGCTCGAATTGCTAGGAGGGTGTCTCCTGTGAAAACAAACTGGTCAGCGCTCCAAGGGATGCCTCTGGCTGCTGTGCCCAGCATGGGCTGTCATTCAACCAGCCCCTCCCGGGAGAACTCCTGCGCACTCCCACCAACCAGGGCTGGGCCATCTGCCTTACTGGGGAATCAGCATCCATCCTTCACAATGCACCACTGGCCCAACACATGGCCCCGGGGAAACACTTTTGCTGGCTCGCTCTTGTGTTGAGTGCTAGGACTCTGGTAGCAAGAAAGGAGGGTTTGAGTGTCTCCTGAGGAAAAGGGAGCTGGGGCAAGGATAGAGACCTGCTGCAGGGAGTGACCCCAGAAACAGACAAGTTCAGGTCAAAGTTTATGTTAGTTATTGAAGTTAGCAAGAAAGGGATACCAAAAAAAGGAGCAGTCGGGGCCCATACCCAGCGTGTGCTGAGCTGGGAATGCCACTGCCTTGCAGAATCTTAGACATTTAACACCTTTCTTTCCAAAGATGGGCACCTAGTCACATGAACTGAAAACAAATTGGCCTTGTGGAATATCATGCAGCCAGTACGCAGGAAATTCCCAACATTACTGCTGCTTCTGTAGTGCTAATTTAGCTACACTGCACACCTTCAATAGGCTCTGGCTGGCACCAACACCACGCGAGTTTACATTTAACATGGAAAACAAGACGAGAAGTCTCCTACTCGTGCAGCACAGCCTCTGTGTGCCTGACACGTCAGCCTTTCCATGGCACGAATTCATTTTCTGCCTTTAACTTCACATGGTTTATTAATGAAAATAGGTAAAAGGGAGGAAAATCCCAAAAGTCACAAAAAAGGAAGAACAGTGTTCTTTGATCTCAGCCCGGTAATTAATGGCTGTCCTTGTAAATTCTCTGGCCCAAAGCAACTTGGCTTACAAAAGTTATTGACAAATCTTGTGGGGTTTGTAAAGTGGGGAATCTTCAGCAATTTATCCGTACCAAATACATCTTTAAAACAGATTAAAATATGGACAGAAGAGTCCTAAAGTACATGCTTAAATTCCAAACTTGTAATGTTACCACAACTATTGAAACGTGTTTCAAATTTGCCTTGATCTTTAAATCTCAAGAAACAAGCCAAGTCTGATGTTTGTGTCTTAAAGTTTTTACTCAAAACTCAAAAAAGATGAAGATAGCGACATAAGGTAAATAGGTATTTTTGCCACTCAGTCTAAGAAACAGAGCAACCTATTTTCATTCCGTTTATCGAAATAAATTCACATTTGGGATAGGGCCAAACATGGGAAATTTCAGCCCACAAGGTATTTACTGAGGAAAGGGGGCAAGGTGGAATGGAAGTTGGAATTCAGCCTGAAGTACAAGGCTGTGATACAAGAGATCCAGCAAAACAGCTTTCCAAAGATCACCAAGAGTGGAGAGTCAGGTATCCTACCTAAGGTATGTTTTCTGGCTACACAGAGATCAGCTTCACCCCCTGGAGGCCAGCTGGGATCACCCTGTAATACCACGAGGAGACAGGCTGAGATGTCTGTTTTAAAACAGCCGGATAATTCAGATCCGCTCCCAAAAAGACAAATCAGTGACCGTGAGTCCAGCTGCAAGGCCTTCACATTGTAGAGTAAGGTTTGGCTTCAGATGTAAATCTGTCCTGAAGAGCAGGAGTGACAAGCAATCTCTGAACTCTTTTAGACTTGGGCTTTTGCACCTCAATTGCTTCCCACACATAATGGCTACCACACAACATTTGTCTACTTCTGTTCCATCAGATCCTCCCATGCGATTACAAGGTATTTGGTGCCATGCATTTTCCTGGTGCTTTATACAATCCCTGTCCCAAGGAGTCAGAGATCAGACACAGCACAGCAGGAAAGCCAAGGATTGCTGTGCACAAGTTACTGGAAGGAAAACAAGAGAAGATTCTTGGAAGGAGGTGGCTCTTGAGGAGAAGAGAGAAAGATCTTGGTGACTACATAGAGAAACTGTTGCAAGCCCAGGAAGCAACATGAGGTCAGGCAGAGAGTCAAGAGAGAAAGAGGACAACGGAAGGTGCACTAAGGAAAGAGGATTGGGAGGAGTGCTGAAAGAAATAGGAGCAAGCAGTCAGGGGGAGGCGAAATCATGTAAGGCCTTGGATCTACCAGGGCCTTTGAAACAAAGGCATTTATTTGTACAAATGAGGCAACAAAAAGGAATGCTGGCTCTTCTCAGTCATATGCAAAGGCCTCCAGCTGGCAAGCAGCACATCTCAGCCCTGGGGAGGGTTCTGCTACAGCTTCCCTTGGAAGGGATGACCTGTCAAGGAAAGCTGAAATCCTGCAATTAAAAACTTGCCCCATTGGATAACATGGCCCCAAATACAAAGGGACAGAACAGACAGCCCCCTACTACAAGCGTGCTCTAGGGAATTCTATGGTCTACCCCTTGCACAGAACAGTCCCATTCCCAGATAGGACTCCTCTGACTGTAATGATACAGCTTGAATTTAGTGGCAGCCGATCCCTAGGATTGTGGGAGACGACGCAGGACTGTCTCTTCACGGAGGACACAGACAGCACATCTTGGGGACCAGCTAGGATCTACTGTCATCTCCCTGCTGGGAAATGGGGGAGCACAGCTGGGACAGCCAGGTAGGTCTGCTGCCTCAGGCCATGGGAGATCAGGCAGGGACCCGGCACCATCTCCTCACCTGTGAAGCACTTGCAGATATCTTCGTGCGTCACATAGGCCAACGTTCTTGTGGTTAAGGAGAAAAGGTGTAGCGTCTCCTTCCTGCACGCAGACAATGGAATTCCTAGAAGCAGCTAAATGCCCGCACCAGAGCCTCTGAAGTGGTCTGGAGGGGAGGCCTACCTGCTGCAGGGCTAGCGCTCAGAGAGGAAACCTGCCAGAGCAGCTACATGCCTGAGAACGTAGCACCGAAGACTCGGAAAGAGGCACTTCTGTCCCGAGTCTGGACTGAAGCGATGCCTTAACATGGTGCTCAGGGACACCACAGCGCCAGAAGTGGGGTCTTTTGGGTGAAATGATCTCTAAACATGCCAACACACCTTCCCCAAAGGTGGAGCAGTCCCCAGTGGTCCTGGGGAAATTCCAACCCAGCTGATTACACCTGCCTCCCCAAACATTCCCTGCAGCGGCACATGGATAGTTTGCTTTACTTGCTGTTGTATACTGCTGGGTCATGTTACAGCACGCTGTTAATCAGCTGCTCTGTGCCACCCCAGATGTGGATGCATTCAGGGCTGGCTATTATTAACAACTATTTGTATGAGCATACTCCCAGGAGCTCATTGTGCTAGGTGCTGTGCAAGTAACATTTGTGCAATGCTTTGCAGGATTTGATGAGAAAGGCGCTATAGAAATGTAAGCTTATTAGTACTGGAAGGAGAGGCAACTGCCCCTTCAGGCCCAGCGGTAGAAGAGAGAGCAGTAGGAACCGAACCAGGAGCTGGGGGTGCTGAAAGGATATCTGCTGTTCTGTACATCTTCTGTGACGTTTTTGATGCTCTGCTGGACCCACATCTTCTGCTGCTCCAGCTCCTGTTCACGCTGCTCCAGGTCCTCTATCTCTGCCTTCAGCTCAATGAGTTTGTGGGCTATCTCGCGGGTGTTACAGCCCGGGCCCACCCCTCTGTGAGAGAGAGAAAGGAATGAGTGGCCCAGCCCCATTAATGGAGAAAATAAAATTTGCAGAGGGCACTGACTGCACCGCCTTGGAAAGAGAAGCCACTCCCAGCCCTCTCCTGACACACAGAGGTTGGAGCCCAGCTCTTCCACACCTCACCAGCTCCCAGCAGTGCAAAACCCATTCTTCAGCACCACAGCTAGAGCCCCTAGCTCCCCTATTGGCACAGCTTAGCTAGGGGAGTGCTAGCACCAACCAGCTGGCAGACACTGCACTCAGAATGCCAACAGAGCCTTGAAGCCGCGGTTCTGCTACCTCTGCCACCATTCCCGCCGCAGGTGGAGCTGTGCCGGGGTAGCAAGGGTGGGAAGTTTCAGAGGGGGAAAACATGGGGAGCGGATTATGGGCAAGGCCTCAAAGTGAGAGGAGCATTGAGAGGAGCCCTTCTCCCAGAATCCTCCCACACTGCTCAGAGTATCTCAGTCACTCACTTCCACTGGATACTGTTCTTGGATTTCTTCTCGATCAGCCCAATGCCCTCCAGAACATTTGTGATGTCGTAGATTCGCCGTTTCTGCCGCACTGCCAACGTATCCGCTGCCTGGGGATTAGAGACTGACAGCTGACTCCAGAAATTCCCAATTCCACTCTGCCCCCATGGACACAGACATCACATCACCCCAATTACAGATCAGACCCTGCTGCTTCCAACAGCGTCTCCTTTGTGCCCCCCCCCCACTTCTCAAATTACAAATCAGACACTGTTCCCAGGGACATCAAAACTATCTGCCCCACAAGCCAACTGCTCATCCAACTAACACCCCATCCATCACAGACCAAACCCAGCCACCTCCTTTGGATTGTGTGTGGATTGCTCATCTCCATGACAAGACCATGTTGGGAGGGAGGGGAATACATGTTACATCCATCTGGAGCTAGATGTTCTCGAGAAGCTTTGTGTGGCGACCTGCAAACTGGATGCATGCTCCCTTGACTGATCAAATCCAGAGGGTAAGAAGGAACGGAATGGGGAGGTGTGGGGGAGAGAGAAGAAACTGGGTCTACTAAAGGCAACAGTTCTGCACGGTCAGGGAGATGGGCTGGATAGTTCCACAGGCCTTTTCCACCTGACTTCCATGCCACTGGGTGGAAAGTGTCACCACCTCCCTCAGGTGAGCTGCCAGCATCTCTCAAATGGGCATTGTTCAGCCCATGCACAAAAAGCCACCCCCTTGGCCCTCAAAATTTCAGCCCTGGCTCTATTCTTTTTTTAGGCAGATTAGGGAGGCTGTGATGAGGCAGCTCTTGTGCTACCCAAAGTTCTCTGATTTCCTTGACTCTCTTGGATGTAGGGCCCAGTGTCCACACAAGAAGGTTCCACTGGTGGAACTGTCCTTCGGTTGGCAGGAACTGCAGCACATTAAGACACAATGAGTCCCTTGACACCTGTTAAGGGAATCTACTCCAGCTCCCATCCCACATAAGTGGGTATTACATCAATGCTGGGCCAGTGTGGACACATCACGTCTGTATTAACAAACCCAGCGCCACACTGCACTGGATATTGCAGAACAGACATGTCTGACTACCTTTCTACACAGTAGTGCTCCAGAAGCCACTCATCTGTTCCAATGATGTTGACATACATGAGTCCCATTTGACAACCATTTCTGAAGCAAACACACACCACTTTTCTTACAGAATATAAACATCTTTGGTCACCTCCTGCATATGCCTGAAGCCAGACAGAGGTCAACAGTGTGAACACATACATCTGGTGTGATATATATGGGTGTAACTCCACTGATGCATGTTGCACTGGTGGAACTTTCATGTGTAGATAAGACCTAGGTTTAGGTACTGGGTATGACATGGAGACTGTGTTGCTTACTCTGAGCAAAGATCTCCAGTGGACAAGGATAAAGCCAATGCTAATTCTCTACCCATAAACTACCTTCAATACCACAAAGTACAAGGCACAGATGACTCCTCTGCAGGCCACAGCAGAGGTAGATATGGCTGTTTGCCTAGCTCTGTTTTCCCTCCCAGGACAGAAAGTAATTGTTGATCTGACTCAAGGGATCCCTGATGGAGGTACCACAGAATTCTGGGGAGAGAGTGACAGCCTTTGGGCTGTATTTGATGGCAGGATACAGAAGTCAGGTCACTTTGCATCTCTGATTCATTGGACCCAGACTGTCCAGGCACTTGGACTTCCCACTATCTGCCCATGAGTGGAGCCTCGGTGAGAGTAAGATCCAAATATGACAGAAGGGTAAAGCAGCAGAGAGGATCTGTTGAAGCTGTTCCATTTTGTGCTGCGTGGCATGGTGGCCTGTGCTATACAGGGCTCAGATGAAATGATCTAGTGGTCCCTTCCGGCCTCAACAATGCAATATTCACTGGGCCAAAGAAAGAGAATGACTCTATAGCCCAGTGGTTCGGTCATTCACCTCAGTCCTAACCACCATGTTTTGGCTACGCTGAGGTCCCTCTCTCGGACCAGACAGCCCATTCCAGTTCTGAAAAACCTGCCTGAAAAGTTTCCTCAAAACAGACAGGTTCTGTGAAAAGTTTCGCTTTTGACAAATCAGCATTTTCCAGAAAAAAAAAACAAAACCCACATCTGACCAAAGCTTGAGAGGAGTTCTGCTGCATCCTAGCCACGCCTGGATGCAAAAGTGCTTCCTTCTATCGGCAATTCAGCCAGGGGGCCACAGCCCTTCCCAGATCTATTAAGCCTCCTGTTTTCAGTCATCCCTCCCTGGGCTCCCAGGTGGATGCCTACATCCATACCTGCTGCCTAGAGCAGCAACTGCAATGCCGCGGATCCCAGGGAGATTCATCCAGCTGCCTAGAGTGCTTCTACCCAGAGAGGGACCCAGTTCTGAAGAGTGAGCATTCCACTGTCTTAGTTCTCTGGACAGTGACACTGCTGGGTGCTTCTCCCCATGGCCACCACCTGAGGTAAATGATGTCACCTCTACTGACCTGGGGGATGTCGATAACCTCTCATAGGTGCCAACGGTTCTGGGAGGCAGATGCCCACTCCAAATGCCACTTCAGCACCCCAATCCTCCCCACCCCCCACATACATACACACCAACATGATAAGCAGCAGCTCCCAGGGGTAGAGGATGTTCAGGAGGCTGCGAAGGCAGGCTGCAGCCAAGCACCATGAAAGGACATTCAGCTTAACCCGCTCCAATCACCCGCCTCATTCTACCTCCCCTCTCCAGGCCCCATCCTGAGCTTCCATTTATTCAAAGCAACTTTTTCCCTATTGAATCTCCCTCTCTGCCCCCCAAAATTGTGTATGTTGAAAAGGCTGCTCACCAGGGTGCTGCAAGATGCATGTTAGTGATCTAGGATACGGTGGGGTGAGATAGCTTTGGGGACAGACTGTGCAGTGTGCTTCTGTGATGCATAAACATGCAGCTTGGTGTCACGGAGGTGAGAAAACGCATGTTCATCTCATCACTTACATGCAATCTCCGGAGCTTCAGCCAGAAATGGTCTGATTTCCTCTCTGCTCCTCACCTCCCATCTGAAGGAGGCAGAGTGCTCTACCAGGGGCTAGCCGTAAAGATCATTTGGAAACTTCAGCTAGTGGAGAACTGCATTCCCGCTTGCTTAGCGGCGCTTTCCCTGCGCCCTGCACATTGCACTGGTTTCCTGTCAGGTCCCGGATACAACGCAAGGGGTGGATTTTGGTCGATGTATCCGTTTCAGGTTGGGGTCCTGCTTAATTTAGTGCTGTTTCTCTCTGCGTTGCAACCTGAGACAAGCTGCAGTGCTAGGGCTGGCAGGTCCTGGATTTGATCCGGGATATTACGCTCTGGTGATGGGACTCTCAGTGCGGTTTTCACAGTCAGGCTTGACAAAGCCCTGGCTGGGATGATTTAGTTGGGGATTGGTCCTGCTTTGAGCAGGGGGTGGGACTAGATGACCTCCTAAGGTCCCTTCCAACCCTGATATTCTATAACCCTTCACTCTGGAAATTGCTTCCCTGTCGGAGCGACACAGATCAGGTGTGTTGGCCTTCAGGGCACATTGGAAGAGTTTTCCTGGGGCAGGGTTTTGGCTCTTTTGCAAGGATGGGGGCAACTCCTTTCACATTGCGTCACAATGCATTTATGATAGGGAAACAAATATATTTATAACACTTACTCCCTAGAAATATGGCAGATACTGAGGGCTCCACCCAGGGCCTGCCCCCCTCCCCTCTCCCCACAACCCTGCACCCAGCCCCATGGCACTAATCACTACTTCCCCCAGTGCACATCCTTCCAGTCCTAGCACCCAAGGGCACCAAACAGGGGAAACACAGGGCACATCTCAGCCTGGCCTCACAACAGCTTGGGCCCTACGCAGCACCCACAGTAACCACTTCACACCCTACAGATACCCCCGGCGCCTCTGCAACCTCCCATGGACAGATACCCCCTGCCTGGCGATGGACAGATATCCTCCTGCCCCCTCTGAATGCCCTCCCATGGATACCCCTACCTTGTCACAAATAGCTACCCTATCCCCTGCAGCCCCTCTCACCCCCGCTCTCCTCTCGCCCCCCCAGGATAGCCCCCTCCCCTGTTGCCCCCCCTCCCCTCCGGCCCCCGCCATGCTTTCCCCTCCCCTCCGACCCCCCCCAGGACAGGCTCCCCTCCCCATGCTCTCAGACTCCCCTCCGACCCCCCCAGGACAACCCCCCCCCCCATGTTCTCCCCTCCAACCCCCCCCCCAGGACAGCCTCCCCCTCCCGTGCTCTCCCCTCCCCTCCGACCCCCCTGGACAGCCTCCCCCCCCCCGTGCTCTCAGCCTCCCCTCCGACACCCCCCCCCGGACAGCCTCCCCCCCCTGTGCTCTCCCCTCCGACCCCCTGGACAGCCTCCCCCCTCGTGCTCTCCCCCCCCCCCTCCGACCCCCTCCCAGGACAGCCTCCCCCCCCCTGCGCTCCCTCCCCCTCCGACCCCCTCCCAGGACAGCCTCCCCCCCCCCGTGCTCTCAGCCTCCCCTCCGACCCCCTCCCAGGACAGCCTCCCCCCCCCCGTGCTCTCCCCTCCCCCCCCTCCCAGGACAGCCTCCCCCCCTCGTGCTCTCCCCTCCCCCCCTCGCAGCCCCCCCCCGGGACAGCCTCCCCCCCCCCCTGGCAGTCTCCCCCCCCCCTCCTCCCCCCCTCCGACCCCCTCCCAGGACAGCCTCCCCCCCCCGTGCTCTCCCCCCCCCCTCCGACCCCCTCCCAGGACAGCCTCCCCCCCTCGTGCTCTCCCCTCCCCCCTCCGACCCCCTCCCAGGACAGCCTCCCCCCCTCGTGCTCTCCCCTCCCCCCCTCCGACCCCCTCCCAGGACAGCCTCCCCCCCTCGTGCTCTCCCCTCCCCCCTCCGACCCCCTCCCAGGACAGCCTCCCCCCCTCGTGCTCTCCCCTCCCCCCCCAGGACAGCCTCCCCCCGGACAGCCCCCCCGCACCAGCTTGAGGTCCAACACGCCGTCCTTGGCCTCCTGCAGCAGTGACACGAACTTGGTGGTGAGCAGCCCCAGGCTCTTCTCGTGCCGGCTCGGGGCCCCCGGGGGCTGCGGCCCAGACTCCGCCATCTGCCTCCCCGCGCCGGCTCCTCCGGTCCGCCCGCCGCTTCCGCTTCCGCCCGCGGGGCACGACGGGAAGCCTCCGGAAAAGCCCCGTCGCCGGAAGCGCGGCGGGGCGGGGCCCGGGGGACGGGGCCTGGGCGCGCGCGCGGGCGGGGGCGGGGCCTGGCCCGTTGCCATGGCGAGGGCCCGAGTCTCGCGCTGCGGGGGGCGCGTCGCGCCGCGCGGGGACCCGCCCTCGGGCTGAAGCCCGGGGCCGGGGGAGCCCCCCCCCCCACGGCTGGGCCGGGCCTTGTGCGGAGCCCGCGTGGGGACGGGTCGGCCCCGGCCCCGGCCCGGCGGCTCTCGGCCGTTCCGCCCCCTCAGGAGGCTGATTGTCCCCCGCACCCCGCGCTTCACTCCGGCTCGGCCCCCCCCCGCGAAACCCGCCGCCCAGGGCTCCCCCCCCGGCGGGTAACCGCCGCCCTTTCCCACTGCCCCCCGCGAAAACCCGCCGCCCAGGGCTCCCCCCCCCGGGCAAAAACCCGCCACCCTTCCCCGCTGCCCCAGGGACCCCCCCCCGGCCAAAACCCGCCGCCCTGGCCCAGGCCTCCCCCCCCAGCAAAAACCCGCTGCCCTTCCCCGCTGCCCCCGCGAAACCCCCGCCCTTTCCCCTGCCCCCGCAAAAACCCGCCGCCCTTCCCCACTGCCCCAGGGCCCCCCCCCCCCCCGCAAAAACCCGCTGCCCTTCCCCGCTGCCCCCCGCGAAAACCCGCCGCCCTTTCCCACTGCCCCAGGGACCCCCCCCCCGAAAACCCGCCACCCTTCCCCGCTGCCCCAGGGACCCCCCCCCGGCAAAAACCCGCTGCCCTGCCCCCCTCCCCCCCAGCAAAAACCCGCTGCCCCCCCGCTGCCCCCCGCGAAAACCCGCCGCCCTTTCCCACTGCCCCCCGCGAAAACCCGCCGCCCTTCCCCGCTGCCCCAGGGACCCCCCCCCCGGCAAAAACCCGCTGCCCTTCCCCGCTGCCCCCCGCGAAAACCCGCCGCCCTTTCCCACTGCCCCAGGGACCCCCCCCCCCGGGCAAAAACCCGCCACCCTTCCCCGCTGCCCCAGGGACCCCCCCCCGGCAAAAACCCGCCGCCCTTCCCCACTGCCCCAGGGACCCCCCCCCGGGCAAAAACCCGCCACTCTTCCCCGCTGCCCCAGGGACCCCCCCCCCGGCAAAAACCCGCTGCCCTGCCCCACTGCCCCAGGCCTCCCCCCCCGGGCAAAAACCCGCCACCCTTCCCCGCTGCCCCAGGGACCCCCCCCGGCAAAAACACGCCCTTCCCCGCTGCCCCAGGCTCCCCCCCCCCCCCCCCAGCGAAAACCCACCCTTCCCCGCTGGCCCGTCCTGACTTGAGCCCTGGCACCGGGGGCCTCTCGCCAGGGTCTGGGGACTACGAGCGGGGCCTGCGCGTGTTTCTCATGTGCCCGCATCTGTTACTGGGAATTCCTTGCTCAGCTTTCCCACCCTTGCTACCTCCAGCTTAGTCTGGCTGCTGTTAAGGCCGGTGAGAGTGCTGGTGTAGACAGGGCTCCAGGGATTGCTGGCACTGCTGTCTGATTAATTCAGGGAAGGCCTGTGCTATGCAGGAGATCAAACAAGATGATCACAATGGTCCCTTCGGACCTTGAAATCTCTGAATTACTTCAATCACCTTGTCATCTGACCTTGCTCAGAGCAGGGCTACATGATTTCAGGTATGTCTACACTATAAGAACTGTCGCTGCAGTGCTGCAGCTTTGCCACTGTAGTGTAGACACTTGCTACAGTGACAGCAGGGAGGTGGTAGCTAGGTTTATGGCCTAGCAGTATCTATACTGGGGGCTTAACTGCATCTCTTGGGGGGTGAATGTTTCACATCTCTGAGCAATGTTGCTAGGTCAACTTACGTTTTAGATATAAAGAACAGGAGTACTTGTGGCACCTTAGAGACTAACAAATTTATTAGAGCATAAGCTTTTGTGGGCTACAGCTCACTTCATCGGATGCATAGAATGGAACATAGTAAAAAGATTATATATATATATATACATACAGAGAAGGTGGAAGTTGCCATACAAACTGTAAGAGGCTAATTACTTAAAATGAGCTATTATCAGCAGGAGAAAAAAACTTTTGTAGTGATAAGATGGCCCATTTAGACAGTTGACAAGAAGGTGTGAGGATACTTAACATGGGGAAATAGATTCAATATGTGTAATGACCCAGCCACTCCCAGTCTCTATTCATACCCAAGTTAATGGTATCTAGTTTGCATATTAATTCAAGCTCAGCAGTTTCTCGTTGGAGTCTGTTTCTGAAGTTTTTCTGTTGCAAAATTGCCACCTTTAAATCTGTTACCGAGTGGCCAGAGAGGTTGAAGTGTTAGAATCATAGAATATCAGGGTTGGAAGGGACCCCAGAAGGTCATCTAGTCCAACCCCCTGCTCGAAGCAGGACCAATTCCCAGTTAAATCATCCCAGTCAGGGCTTTGTCAAGCCTGACCTTAAAAACCTCTAAGGAAGGAGATTCTAACACCTCCCTAGGTAACGCACTCCAGTGTTTCACCACCCTCTTAGTGAAAAAGTTTTTCCTAATATCCAATCTAAACCTCCCCCACTGCAACTTGAGACCATTACTCCTCGTTCTGTCATCTGCTACCATTGAGAACAGTCTAGAGCCATCCTCTTTGGAACCCCCTTTCAGGTAGTTGAAAGCAGCTATCAAATCCCCCCTCATTCTTCTCTTCTGCAGGCTAAACAATCCCAGCTCCCTCAGCCTCTCCTCATAAGTCATGTGTTCTAGACCCCTAATCATTTTTGTTGCCCTTCGCTGGACTCTCTCCAATTTATCCACATCCTTCTTGTAGTGTGGGGCCCAAAACTGGACACAGTACTCCAGATGAGGCCTCACCAATGTCGAATAAAGGGGAACGATCACGTCCCTCGATCTGCTCTCTATGCCCCTACTTATACATCCCAAAATGCCATTGGCCTTCTTGGCAACAAGGGCACACTGCTGACTCATATCCAGCTTCTCATCCACTGTCACCCCTAGGTCCTTTTCCACAGAACTGCTGCCTAGCCATTCGGCCCCTAGTCTGTAGCGGTGCATTGGATTCTTCCGTCCTAAGTGCAGGACCCTGCACTTATCCTTATTGAACCTCATCAGATTTCTTTTGGCCCAATCCTCCAATTTGTCTAGGTCCTTCTGTATCCTATCCCTCCCCTCCAGCATATCTACCACTCCTCCCAGTTTAGTATCATCCGCAAATTTGCTGAGAGTGCAATCTACACCATCTTCCAGATCATTTATGAAGATATTGAACAAAACCGGCCCCAGGACCGACCCCTGGGGCACTCCACTTGACACCGGCTGCCAACTAGACATGGAGCCATTGATCACTACCCGTTGAGCCCGACAATCTAGCCAACTTTCTACCCACCTTATAGTGCATTCATCCAGCCCATACTTCCTTAACTTGCTGACAAGAATACTGTGGGAGACCCTGTCAAAAGCTTTGCTAAAGTCAAGAAACAATACATCCACTGCTTTCCCTTCATCCACAGAACCAGTAATCTCATCATAAAAGGCGATTAGATTAGTCAGGCATGACCTTCCCTTGGTGAATCCATGCTGGCTGTTCCTGATCACTTTCCTCTCATGCAAGTGCTTCAGGATTGATTCTTTGAGGACCTGCTCCATGATTTTTCCAGGGACTGAGGTGAGGCTGACTGGCCTGTAGTTCCCAGGATCCTCCTTCTTCCCTTTTTTAAAGATTGGCACTACATTAGCCTTTTTCCAGTCATCCGGGACTTCCCCCGTTCGCCACGAGTTTTCAAAGATAATGGCCAATGGCTCTGCAATCACAGCCGCCAATTCCTTCAGCACTCTCTGATGCAAGTCGTCCGGCCCCATGGACTTGTGCATGTCCAGCTTTTCTAAATAGTCCCTAACCACCTCTATCTCCACAGAGGGCTGTGTTCTCCTACCAAGGATAGGTTCCCTGGGTTAGTGGTTCTGTGTCCTTGCAACAAAGCCCATTGCCAACTGTGTCCACATATCTATTCAGGGGACACCGTCATAGGGCCTAATCACATCAGCCACACTATCAGAGGCTCGTTCACCTGCACATCTACCAATGTGAAATATGCCATCATGTGCCAGCAGTGCCCCTCTGCCATGTACATTGGCCAAACTGGACAGTCTCTACATAAAAGAATAAATGGACACAAATCAGACATCAAGAATTATAACATTCAAAAACCAGTTGGAGAAAACTTCAGTCTCTTTGGTCACTCGATTACAGACCTAAAAGTTGCAATTCTTCAACAAAAATACTTCAAAAACAGACTCCAACGGGAGACTGCTGAATTGGAATTAATTTGCAAACTGGATACAATTAACTTAGGCTTGAATAAAAACTGGGAATGGATGTGTCATTACACAAAGTAAAACTATTTCCCCATGTTTATTTCCCCCCCACATCCCCCACTGTTCCTCAGACATTCTTGTCAACTGCTGGAAATGGCCCACCTTGATTATCACTACAAAAGGTCCCCCGTCCCCCCCGCCAAACTCTCCTGCTGGTAATAGCTCACCTTAAGTGATCATTCTCGTTACGGTGTGTATGGTAACACCCATTGTTTCATGTTCTCTATGTATATAAATCTCCCCACTGTATTTTCCACTGAATTCATCTGATGAAGTGAGCTGTAGCTCACGAAAGCTTATGCTCAAATAAATTTGTTAGTCTCTAAGGTGCCACAAGTACTCCTGTTCTTTTTGCGAATACAGACTAATACAGCTGCTACTCTGAAACCTTTATTATGAAAGTGCAACTTACAAATGTAGATTTTTTTTTGTTATGTAACTGCATTCAAAAACAAAACAATGTAAAACTTTAGCGCCTACAAGTCCACTCAGTCCTACTTCTTGTTCAGCCAATCGCTCAGACAAAAAAGTTTATTTACATTTGCAGGAGATAATGCTGCCTGCTTCTTGTTTACAATGTCACCTGCAAGTGAGAACAGGCGTTCGCATGGCACTGTTGTAGCCGGCGTCACAAGATATTTACTTGCCAGATGCGCTAAAGATTCACATGCCTCTTCATGCTTTGGCCATCATTCCAGAGGACATGCTTTGATGCTGCTGATGCTCGTTAAAAAAATAACATGTTAATCAAATTTGTGACTGAACCAGTGTTCCCTCCAATTTTTGCCACACATGTGAGGAATGAATTTTGTTATGTGCACCAATAGGGAGGTGATGTATGACACATCACCTCCATATTGGTGCATAAAACAAAATTCATGTGGTGGGGTTGGGGCCGAGGGGTTCAGAGTAGGGGAGGGGGCTCAGGGCTGGGGCAGAGGGTTAGGGTGTGGGGGGGGGTGAGGGCTCTGGGGTGGGGCCGGGGATGAGGAGTTGGGGAGTAGGCTGCCCCAGGGCTACAGCAGGAAGAGAGGACTCGCCCGGCCATGGCAGGTCCAGGGGTGGGTTGAGGCCACGAGAGGGGGTGCCTCTCCCCCAGCCGCGGCAGATCCAGGGCTGGGGGAGAGGCATCTCTCCCCACGGCAGTCCTGAGTGCCTGCGTGGCGCTTAATAGGCTGCTGCACAGCCACCCGGACGCGCAGCTTAGAGGGAATTTAGGAGTGAACTCCTTGGGGGAGAATTGTATGCCTCCTGCTCTGTTTTACCCATTTCTGCCATATATTTCGTATTATGGCAATCTCAGATGATGACCCAGTACATGTTGTTCGATTTAAGAACACTTTCACTGCAAATTTGACAAAATACAAAGAAGATACCAATGTGAAATTTCTAAAGATAGCTACAGCACTCAACTCCAGGTTTAAGAATCTGAAGTGCCTTCCAAAATCTGAGAGGGACGCGATGTGGAGAATGCTTTCAGAAGTCTTAAAAGAGCAACACTCTGATGTAGAAACTACAGAACCCAAAGCACCAAAAGAGAAAATCAACCTTCTGCTGGTGGCATCTGACTAAGATGATGAAAATGCATCCGTCCACACTGCTTTGGATTGTTACCGAGCAGAACCCATCATCAGCATGGATGCATGTCCTCTGGAATGGTGGTTGAAGCACGATATATGAATCTTTAGAGCATCTGGAATGTAACTATCTAGCAACACTGGGTACAACAGTGCCATGCAATCACCTGTTCTCACTTTCAGGTGACATTGTAAACAAGAAGCAGGCAGCATTATCTCCTGAAAATGTAAACAAACAAATTGTTTGTCTGAGCGATTGGCTGAACAAGAAGTAGGACTGTGTGGACTTGTAGGCTCTAAAGTTTTACATTGGTTTATTTTTGAATGCAGGTTTTTTTTAATACATAATTCTACATTTGTAAGTTCAACTTTCATGATAAAGAGATTGCACTACAGTACTTGTATTAGGTGAATTGAAAAATACTATTTTTTTGTTTTTTACAGTGCAAATATTTGTAATAAAAATAAATATAAAGTGAGCACTGTACATTTTGTATTCTGTGTTGTATTTTAAATCAGTATATTTGCAAATGTAGAAAACATTCAAAAATATTTAAATGGTATTCTATTATTGTTTAACAGTGCGATTAATTGCGCGGTTAATTTTTTTAATCGCTTGACAGCCCTAAAAAAATTATTTTAACACTTTTGTAAATTAGGCCTCTGTCTTATACAAGCTGAGGGAGAATTCACAAATAGAAACAGATCTCATGGCATTTTTCAAATAAAATAAATAAATTGGAATCAGTGGGGCTTTTCTGATATACACCAACTGAAGATCTGGCCCACTATTTGGAAATATAACTTCCGTTATTTTCCCAGCCCAGCCCTGGTACATGATTCTTTTCACTAATCATTATATACCTAGAGGCAAAGTGCTTTGGTTTTCCTGGCCATCTTCCATCAGATGTGATCTCACAGCCCCATTAAGCCCTGTGATGCTTCCCATGCTAGGCAGAGTGGTTTGTGAGTATTGCAGTTGATCAGCACATTACCACCTAATAGCTTTCATCTGTATTTATTATAAACACAACACACTCCTTAGACCATTTCCAGGGCCAGTCTCCCCAGAATAACTGGTAAGACCTACTTAAAAGGCTTTCCAAAAAATAATTTATTGGACCTAAAAATTATCAAAGTTCTGGGAGTTTTTTCAGGTTCCTGAGCCAGAGTGGAATCCTGTCGGCATTTGGGGGCCGTGCAACACATAAGCATTTAGGGTGTGTTTCAGATATTCAATATTTGGTTGTAAAGATGCACCCTTAGCCTGCTTCCCTCAGACCCTATGCTCTGTTCTAGACAACTAAGCACAGCTGCCGGCATGAGCAGGTGTTTCACCACAGTATGGTTATGATCAAGCTGATATCAAGCAAAACAACCTTCATGGTTGGTAGCATGCACTTGTTTCAATAAGCTTGGTTTGTTAAATGTTTACCAGTGACTTAGTCTGTCACAGGTTGAATCAGAGCCTGGAGGCAGAAGTGATACCTGTACACCTCTTCAGTGCGTATTTATAACCAAGTCCCCTCAGAATCCAGCTCTGGCCCCAGTCACTGGTAAGCATTTGACAAACCAAGCTTATTGAAACAAGTGCATGCTACCAAGATCACAAATAAGTCTTCCCCATGGATCCGGGGTAGCTTTTGTCATCTCTGACCTGGTTTTTGTGACCTCACAGCCATATTCAGATTGACACCTTTGGGCTGGGATTAGGGCTGGTGATGTCCACCTTGGATATTTCATGTTTGGTCTCATGTTAGCTTTTGGTCCTGGAGCACATCTGGCACCTGGCAAAGTTTTGGAAGTATAAGCTAGCTCCAGGGCGTGATTTACTCTGATAAAAATTTTCTTTGTGAATCAAACGCTTTCGCTGAATACAGCTTTATGGCTAGCTAGACTCTTAGTTTTTATTGTTTTTTCCCAGGGCAAATCCGGCTTGTGCACATGAAAAATACTGGATCCATTTTGTACATCTCCTTGGATGAAGTTGTGTCCAGTGAGATTAGCTGATTCCCTTTAGCCAAAATTCCTAAAGAGCACAAAACATAAAAATACAGAAAGTCCGGAGTTAAGTTTTCTTTCAGAAACTTTAGAAATCATTTCCCCTTTCATACATACTATTTTAAGTATTACACTCACATAAATACAAAGGAGAAATCAAATTTCAAATACCTTAAACTGTGATTAAAAACCAGTATAATACAAAACCTGTTGTAGCACCTATAAAAAGGATTAGAAACCTGCTAGGTGATAGACCTCAGACTTGAATTGTTCAAGGGAATCCTCACCAAGTGTGTGTGTTTTTAGAACCTCAGGGATCAGTTCTCGACCCAAGGCTATTTGCTATTTTAATCGATTATTTAGAAGAAAATATACAATCATCACTGATAAAGTGTGCAGATTACACAAAGCTTGCTGGGATGGTAGATAATGATGAACACAGGTCAGGAAGGCCAGGTGTACACTAAAAACTTTTGCCGGAATAGAATTATTGGTTAGCATGTGATTTTTTTTTAATGACATTTCTATACATGGTGTAGACACAGTTATACTGGTCTAAAAGTGTTTTTGTCTCCATAGTTTATTTCACTTGGGGAACAAGTATAAGCTATATCAGCAAATGCATTTTTTTGCTGGTATAAACTGCATCTGCGATAGGAGGGTTTGCCAGTATGGCTATACCTATAAACCTTTATACACCATGATCTGGTTTGCTTAACTGGGTGCAATCAAACTATATACGTTTCCATTACAGTCAAATGCAAAGTCCAACATGTAGGAACAAAGAATGCCAGCCATGCTTACAGGATGGGAGGCTGTGTCCTGGAAAGCAGTGGCTCTGAAAAGGACTTAGGGGTCATGGTAGAGACCAACCAAACATGAACTCCCAGGGTGACGCTGTGGCTGAAAGGACTAATGTGATTCTTGGCTGTATAAACAGGAATATCAAGCAGGAGTATTACATATGTGTGTAGCACAGGTGAGACCACTACTGGAATATGGTGTCCAGTTCTGGTGTCCATCTTTCAAGAATGGTTCAGAAAAAGCTGCAAGAATAATTAGAGTACTGGAAACAGGTTTTATAGGGAGAGGCTTAAGGCACTCGATCTATGAATCTTATCAAAAAGAAGATGAAGAGGTAACGTGATCATGGTCTGTCAGTACTTACATGGGGAGATTTCTGAAAGCAGGGGGCTCATTAATCTAGCAGATAAATGCAGAATGAAATCCAGTGGCTGGAAGTTAAACTAGACAAACTCAAACGGGACATAAGGCACACAACGGTAAGGAGAATTAATCGTTAGAACTACCTGCCAAGGAATGTGGTGAATTCTCCATCACTGAAAACATTTCCATCAAAACTCATTGTCTTCCTGAGATGACCACAAATTCTTGGGCTTAATGCAGGAATTACAAGTTACATTTTTTTTGCCTTGTGTGACGCAAGAGGGACAACAAGGGGACCCCATGTGATCCCTTCTGGTCCTAAGATCTACGAATCTAGGAACTGTGGCCAGTTTTATATTTTGTAAAATAATATTGCACTTTAAGGTCTGGTTGACAAGTTTCTGTGTCAGATGTAGAGTTGGGCAATTATCCTAACAAGCACTGTTTGTTCCAGAGGAATACTGTATTGTGTTTGGGTGATGCTATTTGTGTTTGGGTGATGCTATTTGGGTATTTAGTGGTATAGCTCAAAATACAATCTCTGAAATATAAAGGGATCTTTACAGTTCATGCAAAAAGTGTAAGTCAGATATTTGTGGTTGGAATTGTTGTACATATTTGCAGTAGGTCTTCTGCATTTCTTCTTTCCATTTCTGTGATTATTTTGGGTGGTAATATCCATAGATTTTCACCATTACTTTGGTGTAATTCTCCAGAATTGCCTGAAACACTGTGCCCAGTTAGCAGGGGTTCTGGGAAAGGGTTACATGAGTCCTGCTGATTCACAGAGGCAGGTGACTCATTGCTCCATCTAGGAGATGGGAGTGTCTCAGTGGGGAGAGAGGATCTAGGGTGCGAGCTGAGCAGTTTTGATTGAGGGAGGAACTCTAGGAGCATCCCAGTCTGGGGAGAAGATTGTATTGTTCTTGTCTGTGTTCATAAAACCAAACCTTGGGAAGGAGGTGGGTTTGGACTATGAGAGCAGGTTGGGAACAGCTCCTGTTCCCAAAGTGACTTCTCAAACTGGTGAAAGACCCTTACTTTGGGATTTCCTGTGGTTTTTAGTGTCTTTGTTATTTTGCGACTGAACTCCATGGTAGGCAGGTTTTTGTGGTGGTCAACAATATACACACAAGCAGCCAGTGGCACAGACAAATGCCCATAGAGTATGAACGCAGGCACATAGAGTGTGAACTCCAAGACACACAACACATGGTATGAACAGAGGCAGCCACATGCAGACAGATGCACACATGTTATACACTCAGGCAGCCAAATACACAAGCATATGGCAACAACGCATAGCCGGCATAAGGGAACTGGAGAGACATCCACCTGGGGCTCAAACACATAGGAACACAGATCCATGCACAAAAATATACAGGTACATAACGGGAAACATGCCTCTGCAAAGGCAGCCACAATCCCCTACACATCCAGACGTACACACAGCCAAGCACATGTGGTATGCACACCCACAGCCCTGCGCACATGATCGGCACACATTGCCATGCAAAGACATGTACACACAGTATGCACACACAAACCTGTGCACACAGACATGCACATATGGCGTGCACACACAGCCACCCACGGGTGGCATGCTGGGCACACACAGGCATGCACAAACAGCTATGCACCCACAGTATGACACTGTGCATGGAGCGAGTTACATTCACAAAGAGTGAAAAATGTCAAGAGCAGGAGCTGCCTCCCCCTCCCCCCCGACATCCTGAGTGTGTCTGCAGTAACACAATGAGCCCCTGAGGAGCTGTGAGTGGAATCACTGAAGGAAACTGCTGGCTGTGCTTCCTCTCTTCAGCCCAGCCCTGTCCTCTGAACCCTGCACACAGCGGCTGGAGCCATGGGCACGTCTGCCGAGCCGGAGGAGGACTCCAGCAGTCGCAGAGGTAATGAGAACTGCAGCTCGAGGGAGGGCAGCGGGGGCCGCAGGGCTCACGCAGCCCATGCTGGGCCAGTCCCTCTGGGGAGTGGTGTGACTCCCTGCACTGGGGTGACCGTGGTGAAGCCTGGCTCCAAGTCTGGGGGGGTTCTCAGTCACCTGTCCCTGGCCAGGATCCCTTCATAGCCTGTGGGGTAGTGAAGATGGGGGTAATCCCCTGCCCCTGGGGGGGTACATCTCCTCTGCCTGCCATCTGGGCATGTTTAGGATCGCTGCCTCTGCCCTGCCCTTGGGAAGAGAGTGATGGAACGGGGCAGGAGGCTCATATGGCAAAGCAGCTATTCCTACAGTGCAGTGTTGAGGCATTAGGCCGGTGCTATTTCAATGTCCCAGGACTGGGGCTCCCCTGGGAAGTGATTCCACAGCCCAGCCAACCCCTCACTGGCAAGCAGCTTTCCTCTGTAGCCAGCCTGCATCTTCCCTTCCCATCACCCCTTTGCCCCTTATCACAGCCCCGCTACCCTGGGACTAACCCCTCTGCAAGCGGCGCTCCCACCCAGCAGCAAGCTGCAGGCACTTCTGCCTCGTGTTAGCTGGTTTGTCCCAAAGCCCTTTCGCTTTCTCCACAAATCCATCTTTCCTCCTGCCCTTGGGCTGCCGTTCGCCCAGTCTCCTGGGCCTGGTGGTGCCCAGAACCCAGCCCCGTGAAGCCCTACCCAGGCAGACGCGGGGCGTGGCCACTGTGTCATAACTACTGACAATCCCAGGGGCCGCTGCGCGGGGGGAGCTGCTGGCGAATGTGGGGCATGGAAATGAGGGGAGAGGCAGCACCAAGTTCGGGGAAGAACCTCAGCCAGCCCTTGGCACGCCCACGGCATTGTCTGTGCCAGGCCAGGAGAGCAGCAGTGCTGAGAGAGGGCAGGTGCCAGGCAGTGGCCCCAGTTGGGTCTGCACTGCTGCGCAGAGCAGGGCAGTAGGACCTGGGGAGGGCTGCTCTGGTTCACAGACGCAGTCTGAGACAGGCACACAGAACCAAGGTCGTTAGGAGACTGAAGAGACACCCGGGGCCATGCGACCTCCAACATCCATCTGGGCCTGTTCAGGGAACCCCATTTCACCCCCCACTGTATCTGGAGCAGCGTTCAGGGCACTCCTCATTCCTAGCTCACCTGAGCTCCCTCTCCCCAGCACAGGTGCTCAGGGGAGAGGCTGTAACCCGGCTGCTGGGGAAGCAGCGGTGGGCAATGCCCAGGGGAGGGGCAGGCTCTGTGCCCAGTGAGTAGGACTGGACTGACCCCAGACTGCTGCGTTCCCTGCTTGGTCACAAAGTCCCTGCCAGCTGCGGCTGTATCTTTCCTGCTGAGTCACTGCCTTGCTCACAGGCCCCTATCAGCGGCTCCCAGGCAGCAAACCCATGGCATGGGGCACCTCCAAACTCCGTGCAGCCATCCCACTGGGAGCTCTGGGGCAGTCAGGAAGGGGGCAGCCTCATGGGGCTGTGTGGAGTAGGGCCCTGCACACAGGCAGGCTGAGGGACACTTGACAACTCTGTCTGGCTGTCCCCGTATGTGTCCATCCCTCGGTCCCCGTGTGTCTGTTCCCCATATCCCCTAGGGTGTGCCTGTCCACGTGTGTGTCTGTCTGTCCACATCCCTTACTGTGCTTCTGGCTGTCCGTATGCTCACTTTTCTAGGATTTTATTAGGTCTCTCACCATGGTGGCAGCTGAGCGCTCGTTTGTCCCCACATCCTCATGTGTCTGCCTGTCTGTCCCTGTCCCCATGTCCGTGTGTGCATGCAGGCATGTGTACATTCACACCCTGCTTCCTGTGCCTCCGTCCTCTGGAAGCAGCCGGAGTGGAAATGCTCTTCCTGTCTGCGAAGGAGACGCTGCCTCCGGTTTGTTTTCTTAACTGATAACATTGCCCCTAGATGAGGAATGGCCAGAAGTGGAGAAGGCGGAGAAGTTAGCAAGAGGCGCTGCTTTGAAATGGGCCTCGGCGGTGTTTTACCGCCCGGACAAGTTGGAGGGTCTGGGACACTACCGGAGCCGGGAGGCCCAGCGAAACAGCTCGATCCAATCCCGGCTAAAGGTGGGTGCTCATTGCAGGGGGCCCTAGGCCCAGAGAGGTTAGGCCTCCTGTGACCTGGGATTCCTTGCCCCAGGGGAGCGTATGCCATTTTCTAACACTTAGTCCATTCGAAACTGGAGCCATTTCAAAGCAGGAAAACATGTCAGGACACTGCTCAGCTTTCCCAGAACCGAGCCCAGGGCTTTTTCTAGTTCTTTCAGGAAATTTGCCTTTAGACTAAGAGTGTGAGAAATTGTGGGCATAAAGTCAGAGGCATTTTTGGAAGGAGCTGGGACTCTCCGGCTGGAACTGCTCCAGCCATACCAACGGCAGGCTGCAGGGATAGCACTGAACTGGGGAAACGACCAAAACGCACGTCTGTCCCAAATCACAATGAACACGACAGAGCAGAGCCCAAGGCTTTCGGATCACATGCCCATCTGGCCACAGGTGCCAACTTTCATTGGTGCTGGTGGGTGCTCGCACCCCCCTGCCCCAGCCCCAACTCTGCCCCCTCCCTGCCCCTATTGGACCCCTCCCCAAATCCGTGCCCCGGCCCGCCTCTTCCCCCAGCGCACCAGGTTCCCCCTCCTCCCCCCTTCCTCCCAGGCTTGCCGCGCGGAACAGCTGTTTCACTGCGCAAGTGCTAGGAGGGAGGGGGAAGAAGCAGGACCCAGGGGCGCGCTCAGAGGCAGAGGCGGAGGTGGAGGTGAGCTGTGGCGGGGGCGGGGAGCTGCCGGTGGGTGCTCAGCACCCACCAATTTTTCCCCGTGGGTGCTCCAGCCCTGGAGCACCCATGGAGTCGGCGCCTGTGCAGGTGGCCAGAGACTTGTCTTACTGGCCTGTGAGCTCAAGTTTTCAATGTAAAAAAAAAAAAAAGCAGCCGGGGTGGGGGCTGCTAACTGACCAATAAGCATCACTCCCACCACCAGCTCATCACCAGCATGAACGGAGACCCAAGCTTCGTTCCTGGGCCCGTGCCAAGGCAGCGGGGGTCACAGCAGTTCCTGCGCTGGGGCAGCGGGTGAGGGGGATGCCGAGCCGCGTGAGCATCTCCGGGGGCTGTAGCTGCTGTTCTTCGCTCTGCTCAGAGATGATCTCCCAGTTGGACGGGGGAGGGCTGGACGCAGAGCAGCCGGCTCGGACCGATCTCGCCTCGGGGAAATCCCGGGTGTCTGTTTGTGTTTATAAAGATGCTCCGGGCCCAAAGGGAGCAGAGCTGGGGAGAGCAGCTGCTGGCTGTTGTCACAAGGCAGGGTGGGACATGAGGACGAGGGGGTGACCTGTCTGGTGGTGAAGAAGGGGGCGCGTGGTCTGTGGTCACTGTGGGACCTGAGCACCGAAGGGAGAGAAGGCGGCTCCCCACAGGAGTTTGTGGCCCAGAGCAGCAGCAGCCTCAGTGTGTGTGGGGGGTGCTCCCGGAGAGCCATTCCCACCTCCATTTCCATCTGTGCCCCATGGCCGGGTGGAGAATCTGCTCTGGTCAAACCAAGAAACATAGGAGGATCCCAGGGAGAGCGAGGCGGGGGCTTGTCCCCTGCTCACGTCTAAATCCCAGAAGCCACGTGGAAGCGTGGGTATGGACCAGGGGGGATTGCTGGATGCTGCCACGGCACAGCAAACTCCCCCGGGGCCACGGCGGCTGTGGCTGAGACATGCAACTAATGATTAACATCCGAAGGGGACAGCCTGCTCCCTGGCCCCCCAAATCATCTTTCCCCACGCCTACACGTCCCCCCCACGGACATACCCTTCCCACGCAGTACCGCAGCCACCCACCCCTCCCACAATATTACACCGACGCCCACCTGCCCCACCCCCAGTATTGCACCCGCCCTCTCCCCTGGTATCACCCCCACCCGCCCCTCCCTCAGTATTACACCCTCCCCGCCCTCCAGTGTTATTACACTCCCTGTGCCAACCTGCCCCTCCCCCAGTATTTTGGTTTCACCCCCAACCCCTCCCTGCCTCACCCACCCCTCCTCCGGTATTACCCCCGCAGCCACCCACCCCCTCCCGGTATTGCACTGACCCTCTCTGTGCCAACCCACCCCTCCCCCAGTATTATGCCCACCGACCCCACACCCGCTGCCCCACCAGTATTACTCCCATGCTCCCCACACCCACATTATCCTCCCTCTACCAGTTGGTATCAAGAAGTCCCTAGATCAGAGAGTAATTATGGGTTAGCAGGGGTCTGGAGGGTTGTGTAGGGTGAGGTTAGAGGAGTGGGGGGGTCTAGAGGGGCTGTGTATGGTGGAGTTAGGAGAGTGATGGGTCTGGAGGGGCGGTGTAGGGTGGGGTTGGGGGAGTGATGAGTCTGGAGCATCTGTGTAGGGTGGGGTTAGGGGAGTGATGGGTCTGGAGGGGCTGTGTAGGGTGGGGTTGGAGGAGGGGGATCTGGAGGGCCTGTGTAGGGTGAGGTTAGAGGAGTGGGGGGGTCTGGAGGGGCTGTGTAGGGTGGGGTTAGGGGAGTGATGGGACTGTGTAGGGTGGGGCTGGGGAAGTGATGGATCTGGAAGGGCTGTGTCGGGGGGGTTCGGGGATTGGGGGAGGGGCTGTGTAGGGTGGGGCTGGGGAAGTGATGGGTCTGTGTAGGGTGGGGTTAGGGGAGTGATGGGGCTGTGTAGGGTGGGGCTGGGGGAAGTGATGGATCTGGAAGGGCTGTGTCGGGGGGGTTCAGGGAGTGGGGGAGGGGCTGTGTAGGGTGGGGCTGGGGAAGTGATGGGGCTGTGTAGGGTGGGGTTAGGGGAGTGATGGGGCTGTGTAGGGTGGGGCTGGGGAAGTGATGGATCTGGAAGGGCTGTGTAGGGGGGGTTCAGGGAGTGGGGGAGGGGCTGTGTAGGGTGGGGTTAGGGGAGTGATGGGTCTGGAAGGCCTGTGTAGGGTGAGGTTAGAGGAGTGGGGGGGGTCTGGAGGGGCTGTGTAGGGTGGGGTTAGGGGAGTGATGGGGCTGTGTAGGGTGGGGCTGGGGAAGTGATGGATCTGGAAGGGCTGTGTCGGGGGGTTCGGGGATTGGGGGGAGGGGCTGTGTAGGGTGGGGCTGGGGAAGTGATGGGTCTGTGTAGGGTGGGGTTAGGGGAGTGATGGGGCTGTGTAGGGTGGGGCTGGGGAAGTGATGGATCTGGAAGGGCTGTGTCGGGGGGGTTCAGGGAGTGGGGGAGGGGCTGTGTAGGGTGGGGCTGGGGAAGTGATGGGGCTGTGTAGGGTGGGGTTAGGGGAGTGATGGGGCTGTGTAGGGTGGGGCTGGGGAAGTGATGGATCTGGAAGGGCTGTGTAGGGGGGGTTCAGGGAGTGGGGGAGGGGCTGTGTAGGGTGGGGTTAGGGGAGTGATGGGTCTGGAAGGCCTGTGTAGGGTGAGGTTAGAGGAGTGGGGGGGTCTGGAGGGGCTGTGTAGGGTGGGGTTAGGGGAGTGATGGGGCTGTGTAGGGTGGGGCTGGGGAAGTGATGGATCTGGAAGGGCTGTGTCGGGGGGGTTCAGGGAGTGGGGGAGGGGCTGTGTAGGGTGGGGCTGGGGAAGTGATGGATCTGGAAGGGCTGTGTCGGGGGGGTTCAGGGAGTGGGGGAGGGGCTGTGTAGGGTGGGGCTGGGGAAGTGATGGGGCTGTGTAGGGTGGGGTTAGGGGAGTGATGGGGCTGTGTAGGGTGGGGCTGGGGAAGTGATGGATCTGGAAGGGCTGTTTGGGGGGGGTTCGGGGATTGGGGGAGGGTCTGTGTCGGGTGGGGTTAGGGAAGTGGGGGAGGTCTGGAGGGGCTGTGTGTAGGGTGGGGCTGGGGGAGCAATGTGGGGGTGGGTAGGTTCTCCCCATACCTGTGGGGCTGGGCATTGCTCACCGTCCCTGCCCTCTGTGTTGCCAGTCGACCGTGCAGTCCCACCTGGAGGGGGTGAGCTCGGGGCTGGAGCAGCTGCGCTCAGCGGCTGGGGACATGCGGAGCGTGCGCCGGGATCTTTGCGCCGTGCGATGGCACCTGCTGGGCAGTGCCGAGGGCGTCCAGAGGCTGGCGCCGCTGCGGGCTGTGGTGACGGAGCACGCGCAGATGGCTGCCGTCATGCGGGCGCTGCCCCAGCTCTCCTCAGGTAAGGGGCACCGAGCCAGGCCTCAGTGTGCCCTGGTGTGTGATACGGCCCCTGCGCGGGGCGCTGGGCCTGGGTGCCCGGCGGGCTTGGAGCCCCGCAGCTGGCTGAAGGAGCCAGGTCCTGGGGACGCTGTCAGGCAAGGGGCTGGAGGTAAGGCCCAGCCCTGCACCTAACTGCAAGAGCACCCGGCGTGGGTGGATGCTGCTCACGCTGCTGCCTCACCGAGGGCATCCCCAGCCCCGAGGTCCCAGGGCGCCGCAGAGTCACCCCATAACGGCGTAAGCCTGGCTATGCCCCCGTAGCCACGTGGTCCCCAGCAGACGGACCCCGTTGGCTGGGAGAGGGGCGTGGGCACAGCGGGGGCCTGCCGGGTGCACATCATGCTCCCGCAGAGCCCCAGGCCATTAGGGAGCAGTCTGGGCTCTTTTGGCCAAGCACGTCCTGGGAGCGCAGCTGCCTGTCTGGCGACAGTAGGACCCAGGCTTTCTAGCCAGGAGCTCCCTGCTCAGGGACTGCCAGTCCTGTCCTGTGCCCACCCCACCCTGGACAATGGGGTGAGCAACTGCCCAGCGTGGTGCCAGGCACAGGCAGGCAGCTAACACTGCCTGTGGGGGGCCGCAGGAGGAGGTTTCTAGGGGGCCTGCTCAGAAGGTCTCTCTCCCCCTCGCCTGCGCTGAGCGTGGGAGCCCGTGTTACCAGCGCTGGGCCCTGCTGCTGTCCGTGCAGGGCAGCTCGGCTCTGGCTCCCACAGGGTCCAGGCTGTTGGATGTCTCCTCTCCACGCAGTACACGAGCTCCTTGCCCAGTCCCTCCATCTCCTCCAAGGCCAGCAGCTCCTGGAGGCCCACGCCGGGCTCATGGCGCTGGAGCGCCTGCGGGACGACATCTCCTCCCAGCTGCACTGCAGCAGCAGCCTCCCGAACGACCAGGCCCTGGGCGTGGTGGAGTCCTTCTTCGGGGGCCTGCAGGAGCTGAGCGACGCACTGGCCCAGCAGCTGTGGCGCGTCGTGGGCGGCAGTGTGAGGCTGGTGCAGGAGGACCCAGCCCTCTTCGTCTCTGCCGTGCGGATCATTGAGAGAGAAGAGAGCGTCGATGATGCCCTGCTGCTGGGACCCCGCGCCCACCGCTTCCCTGCCCCTGGGCGCCCCAAAGCCTGGAGGCAGCGGTTCTACCAGGTCATGCAGGAGACCATCGCTGCTGCCCACTTCAAGGCCGCTCACGGGGACGTGAAGGGCCCGGGACTGGGCCGGCACCTGGCCGCGCTGCAGAGTGACATCCTTGCGGAGCTGCGTGTGGTGAAAGACCTGATGGTGCAGTGCTGCCCACCTCACTATGACATCCTCAGCATCTGCACCCGCATGTACCACCAGGGCCTCTCCGACCACCTGCAGGACATCCTCAGCAGGGACCTGGACAAACAAGAGATCTTCATGCTCCTCAGCTGGGTTCTGCATGTGTACCACAGGTCAGTGCCGGGCAGGGGGTGGGGGAGCTCGGGGTGTGTGTGAGGAGCCCGGGGCTGGCATGGAGGGGGGGGTGCGCACACCCGTGGATGTTTGATTTGGAAGTCCGATTTGGAAGTCGTCCATCTGCCTGGAGCACATGGTGTTATTCACTGGCTCCCCTTGTTCCTCCCCGCAGCCCGGAAATGATGGGTCACCCAGACCTTCTCCCCGAGGTGGACGTGTCTACTCTGGAGCCCCTGGTGTCCCCAGAGGTGGTGGAGCAGATGGAGAGGAAATATGTGGTGAAAGTCAAGGTGAGTGAGCTAGGGAGGATGCGGTAGCAAGCATCCCACGCAGGCCTGGAGTTGCCCATTTCGGAGAAGGGGTGGTGAGGGCCCAGCAAAACCTGAGAATCAAGCCATGACAGTGTGTGTGTCTCTCTCTCTCTCTCTCACACACACACACACACACATACACACAGAGTGCTGTGTGCTCTGCTGGGCCCCTCCTCCCCTGTTCATTCACCCTCTGCCCCGTGGCAAGCTCCCTGCAGTGACAGGGCCAGGAAGAGCCCATTCCACTGCCCCCCGGTTCCGACGGAACAAGTGGACCAGGTTTGTTAATATCCAGTATTAGACAGCATTACACAAGGCTCGGGGTCTCGTACCCAGAGACCTCGGCCTGCTTGGTCCCATGGCAAACACAGCATTAACAGCCTTTGTTACCCTCGGTTAAAGATACAGACAAGAAGGAAAGGTGTAAAGATGGGAATAATTGTCCTTCCGGGGCAACGAGCAGAAGTTAGTAGAGACGGGCTGGAGCTGTTGCTGGTAAAGTCCGATCCTGTTTGCTAGAAGACAAAGCAAAACACACAAAAGGGGAGAGGACAGAACAGCAAAGAGAGAAAATGCAGCATCTATCTCTGGTGCCGATTCTCACTGGTAGCCTCGCTGCTGGAGAAACACAGGCTCAGCCCACGGGCTGCTCAGCCACTCCGAGAGCTGGCAAGCTTGTACCAGCGTCGGGCTGTTCAGGGCATTGCTTTTAACTGCCTCTCTGGTCCCAGGCTAACAGCAGTGTTGCAAAATATACAGTGTCGGCCGGCTAAGCCGGACTCTTATTGGACAGAAGGGAAAAGGAGAGAGGTAGGGAAGAGGAAAGACAAGAGGGAAGGAAAAGGACAACTTGAGGAAGGGGGTGACAAAGTCTCACCTCCCAGCTGGTGTTTGGGATTGATCGGGGTCCTTCTCTCTGGCCCGGTCAGGTCAGGACCTCTGGCACAATGATGTCACGATGGATCCCGGGGGCCCAGGAGACGGCGGGGTGGCAGCCATGATGGTGAAGCCCGCTCCCTTCATTTCTTTCAGTTTGCCAGCTTCCCCCCAGCATCTTCCTGAGGCCCCCAAGGGAGCAGTGGGTGGAACAGCCCAGTCCCTCGTTATTTTGTCCACTAATTAGGCTTTGTTTCCGACAAGCCCATTTTGGTTAATTGATTATGCAGGTCTCTTGCTTACCAGGCCTGAGCACGACACAGGCCTTGAGTTCTATGAGCCGGGCACTTGGGTTGGGCAGAGTCGGGCTCCGGCTCGCTTTCGCGCCTTTCCCCATCACCACAAGTTGTTACGGGTCCTTGTGACCCTTCAGGAGGGTTCTGCTCAGCTCCCACTTAAGGCAAACGTGGGGTTTCCCCAACAGCTCTCACTGCTGAGAGTTTTCCTCCTTAGCCTCCACCATGGCCTCTTCCCCAGCTGCCCCCCAGCGGGCACAGCCCCTCTGTCACTGCAGCCGGGCCCTGCTCCTGAGCTGCTTCTCTGCCCTGCGCGCCCTGCCACCCCGCAGCGTCACTCCCGAGGCTGGAGCGACTGAGGGGGAACAGAGACAAACGCTGCTGCCCCCTGAGCCACGCCAGCTAACGAGCATGCCCCTGACATTGCCCGCCCTGTGCCCGCTCCCTCAGCACCACGTCGGCGGGATGCCTTCCTTTCCCAGCACGTGGTGGTGCTGCCTGGAGAGACAGCCCTACCCGCCGGCCTGAGCCATCCTCTCATCTCTCCTGCTGTGCTCCATCCCCTGGCTTCCCCCATGGGCACCGGCCCCTGTGGTGGGAGATACTCTGGTGTTCCACTTGAGCAAATAATCCCAAATGTTCAGCCCTACCCCTGACGGGGCAGCCCAGTCTGCAGCCCCATCTCACTGCGCACATGTGTTTGTCGTGCGGCTCAGCTTTAAACCTAAGCCCCACATTTGCAGTCTCAGCAGAAGGGCGGTCTGTGGCCACCCCGGGGCATTTAGAGCTGCCGCAGCAGAGCAGGGGCCCGGCGTCCCGTCTCACCTCTTCGTCCTCCCGTCGGGCAGGCCAGCGTGACTGAGTGGATGAGGCGCACGCTGGAGGTGGAGTTCAAGGAGTGGTTCAGAGAGGAGGAACCAGAAATGGATCATCTCGGCTTCTTCCAGTCGGCCCTGCCTGTCATCGTCATGCAGGTGGGTGGGGCAGGGTGGGGCTGGGAGTGCTCTGTGATGGGATTGGGCGGGCATCAGGGCTGGGAATGCCCTGTGAGGGGCAGGGCCAGGGCCAGGGCCAGGCAGAGCGGGGCTGGAAGGCTCTTTGAAGGGGTTGGGCATGACATCGGGGCTGGGAATGCCCTGTAAGGGGATGGGCAAGAGGGCTGGGAGTGCCCTGTGAGGGGGCCTGGCAAGGGGGCTGGGAGTGCCCTGTGAGGGGACGGGCAGGGCGGGGGGGCTGGGAGTGCTCTGTGAGGGGGTTGGGCAAGGGGGCTGGGAGTGCCCTGTGAGGGGACGGGCAGGGTAGGGAGGTTGGGAGTGCTCTGTGAGGGGGTTGGGCAGGCCATTGGGGCTGGGAATGCCCTGTGAGGGCAGGGCCAGGCAGGGCAGGGGAGCTGGCAGTGCCCTGTGAGGGGGCAGAGGAGGGAAAGAGGGCTGGCCGTGCCCTGTGAGCGGGCCAGGCAGGGTGGGGCAGGGGGCTGGGAGTGCCCTGTGAGGAGACAGGCCAGGCAGGGGGGCTAGGAGTGCCCTGTGAGGGGGCTGAGGAGGGCAAGGGGACTGGCAGTGCCCTGTGAGGAGCTGGGCAGGGCAGGGGGTGCTGCAGACCCTGGTCATGACTGCCCCCAGCCGTGGCCATTACCCGAGTGCTCTCGGCACATCGGGCTTTCCGCCCGCAGAGCTGTTCTGTGCCTCGGGTCTGTATTGCTAGGGGTCACCTGGAACCCTGGGGCACCCGCTCCTCCGTCCGTGCCCTAGACCTTGCACTGGGCTGGCCTGGTTCTGGGTTCCCCGGAGGACCTGCCTTTCCCCCCATGCATGGAGGGGTCAGTCCTGCCGCTCCTGCAGTGATTGGGCTGGGGGTTCTCCCCTGCGGTAGCTGGGGTGTGCTGGGCTAGGGAGGTTGCCCTCACGGCTTCTCAGATCCCTGGAGGATCTGAGCTGCACCAACCTACCCTGCTCTGGGAGGGTCACGTGGGCTTGGGAGCACTGCCAGTGTGGCCAGGCTGCCAAGGGAAGGTTACCAGAGCGCTGGTCACTCTGCCCTGGCAGCCTCTCCCAGTGCAACACCCCTGCGCTGCCCCACGGCCTGCTTTGGGGGCGGAGGGGAGCAGGGCAGCGAGTGAAGGCCCTGCACAGACACCCTGGCGCCTTCCCCCAAGACATTGCCATCTAGCTCAGGGTATGCTCCTGGGGGCAGCATAGGCACCAGGGAGCAGAAGGTGGAGAGACAGAGAGAAGCTAGAGCCAGGCTCCAAGGAGGGGTAAGGTGGTGAGTGAGCCTGGCCTGAGAGCATAGGGGGGCAGCTGTGGGGTCCAGAGCCATGTTCCCCGCTCCCCACCCCTTGGCAGGGGCACATGCTGCTTAGCCTCACCCCTGAATGTACCATGATGGCTCCATCTCCCCTGGGCCCCGCTGATGCCAGGGGAGCCCACGCCAGGTCCCTTGCCTGGCTCCCACCAGCTGTCCTCTGGCACTGGAACTGCCGGCAAATCCCCAGAGAGCCGAGTGGGGTCCTGCCCTCTGCCCTGCCTGGCACTGGGGCAGCACAGGGGCGAGGCCTGCCAGCCCGGAGCTGGGGGCCAAGGCCCCCAGCCTCACTGAGCAAGCAGCACCGGAGCCCCGGCCGGGGATGTGGGGGGAGCCTGCGGACAGGGCAGTGACCCCGCATCCTGCTCTCCCTGCCCAGATGCTGGATGAGAATATCCGGGTGGCGTCCCAGGTCACGGGCTCTCTGCAGCAGAAGATTTATGCTATGGCCATGGACGAGCTGGAGGCCTTTCTGATCAGGTCAGTGGTGTCCTTGGGGTGCCCCCTGCTTCCTGAGGCCTGCCTTCCAGGACAGGATGGCAAAGGCTGGCGGAATCCCATGCCGCCCATCTCAGGGGGACCGGACAGGCCAGGGTATTGCGGCCTGTTGGAGCGCTGGGCCGTTCCGGGGTCAGGCACCCAGGGGCCGGGACCCCCTTTGGATCCTGTCCCCAGCTGACGGTCTTCACTGAGTGCTCCTTTCCTGGGTACTCAGCCCACGCCCCCCCAGCCTCGCGCCATGGCTCCTAAGGACCCTTCCCCAGCTACCCCTCCGCAGCCCCTCGCTCTCCAAGGGCCTTACAGCCCTGGGGGGGATTAGCTGGCTGTTAGGATCCCGCCACCAGCTGTCTGCTCAGGCGCTGCTCTCATTGGCCTCCTCCTACAGGTGCCACAGCAGGGACGGCCAGGCTGCTGCGTGGGAGAGGGTCAAGGGAGCCCTAGGTGTGCCCCATGGCATGCCCTGCCCCCTGCATGGGTGCACGGTGCAGGGTGAGGCTGGGAATGAGGAAATGTGACCCACGCAGTAGCTGGATACGTGCGCCCCCCACCCCCGGCTCCCTGGGCTGCATCCTGCAGGGAGGCAGAGTTACCGGGCGACTGCTCAGCAGCGCTTGCTCCAGCTGATGCAGGATCGGGGCCCTGTGCTCCAGCCTGCCCAGCCCCTGCCCTGGGACATTCCGCACCAGGAGTTTCCAGACATCAGCACCACAGAGGCTGGAATGCCCAGGCTGAGCATGTGCCAAGCCATGCAATGCCCAACGGGCGCCAGGGTGATCTGCCCAGCCGCTGGGCTCTGTGCAGGGCTCAGAGCCCGTTTCAGAGCCTCGCCCACCCAGGGAAGCCCGGGCCTCCCAGAAGCTGCTGCCAGGGGCAGAGGGCTCCCATGGAGAGAGTCCCCGGTGCCCTCCAGCTCCATGGCCGGTCCCCTCTCTGCCAGCCCTCACAGTCCCATGTGCTGTGTCCTAGGCTGCGAGAGGCCCTGGGGGAGTGCGGGAAGGAGCACCAGAAGGACCGAGCCAGGCCCAAGCATTACATCTCCTACCTGCTGGCCGTGCTCAACAACAACATGGCGCTGAGGTAACCTGGCAGGGGACTGGCAGCTCTTTCCCTACGACCCAAATCCGCTCCCCTCCCACTGCTTCCCCAAAGCACATGGCCCCCACACTGGGCACAGACCCCAGTCACTGCTACCCCAGAGCCCCCACCCCCAAGGACACGAGACCCACCATTTCCTCAGAGCCCCTGCACTCCCATATTGGCTCTGACCCCTTCCCCAGAGCCCATATCCCCCCGATTAGGCCTGATTCCCTGCCCTCCACTCCCTGTTCCCCAGAGCTTTCCCCCACCCTTCCTCAGAGCCCATGCTTCCCTTCTCCCAGGCCGTCTGCCCCAGCTGACCATCCCTCAGCTCCTTCTTTCTCCTTCCAGCTCTTCCATCTCCACTTTGCACCCTGGCAGTGCATCTCTTGCCAAGCCCGCTGAAATCCCCTCTTCCCTGAAGACTGCGCTGGACCGGACCCAGAAGAAGGCCTGCCGGCTGCTGCTGGAGGAGCTGCTGCTGGATTTGCAGGTACGCACATCTAAGAGGGGCTGCAGGGCTCCTGGAGCCGGGAATAGCGTAGGGCCAAGAACTGAGTCCCTGCAGGACCCTTCTGGAGACACCCCGCTAGACGACAATTCCCCGTTTACAGCTCCATTTGGATTTAACCAGTTTTCAACTCGTTTAACATGGGCCCTGTTAATTTCATATCATTCTAGTTCATTAATCAAAACGTTGTGCGTTACCAAGTCAAACGCCTTACTAAAGTCAAAGTATATGACGTCACCACCATTTCGCCAACCAAACATGTAACCACCTCAACAAAAGAGATCATTAGCTTTGATAGGATCTATTTTCCATACACCCATCTTGATTAGTATTAATTACGTTTCCCTCCTTTCATTCTTTACCGAGGCCTGTATCAGCTGCTCTATTATCTTGCCTAGGAATTGATGTCAGACTAAAGCTACCCAGGGCAGCCAGTTCACCCCTTTAAAAATGAGCACAGCTGTCACTTTCGTCCAGTCTTCTGGAACGTCCCCACTGCTCCAAACTTATTGAAAACCAACATTAATGTGTTGACCCATAGACCCGGCTAGGCTAGGCTACACTGTGAGGAGAGACACAGTCAACCAAGACAAAAGGGATCGTTTAAAATTTTTTGGACTTTACAAGGGAAAACTCCCATATTGTACCAGGAGCATAAATAATATCGACTATTGCAGAGACTTACTACTTATACCGATAAAGCACAGGTTACCCATTCATCAACCACTGTGAGCTTGTACACACTCTGCCGTTAGTACCAAATCCATTGTTGTCAACAAGAACAAAAGGGATTTCTTACCAATAGACTGTGTCACTTCAGAGAAGAATCAGCTTTTCCTCTCCTTGGCTGTAAGGCCAGCTCCACTCTTGCTGTCCTGTTCTTTGCTTCTCTTCGGCTTGAAGTGCTCCTTAGAGTCGATATTGCCGTGGCTGGGCCTCTTTCCACTGCGTTTATCCACAGGCGGGGTTTCTTCCCCTCGGGGGCCCTTTTGAACTACATCCATCAACAGATGTTCAAACAGTCCCTCTCTCTGTTCACGTCCTTCAGGTGTCTTGTGGGTGGGCTTCTTGTTCACTGCTTCTAGGACCTGTTTGCATGTAGCACAGCTTTCCGATCAGTCCCCTTTTCCGCCAGTTCCACTTCCTTTCGGTTTCCCTTGACACTCTCTCTCCCGTGTGTCCGGAGATCCTAGCTCACAAACCCGCCTCCCCGCTCCACCGGCGTCCGCTCTCGAACCCGCCTCCCCGCTCCAGCGGCGTCCGCTCACGAACCCGCCTCCCCGCTCCAGCGGCGTCCGCTCTCGAACCCGCCTCCCCGCTCCAGCGGCGTCCGCTCACGAACCCGCCTCCCCCTCCACCGCGTCCGCTCTCAACCCCCCCCCCTCCACGGCGTCCGCCACGAACCCGCCTCCCCTCCACGCGTCCGCCTCGAACCCGCCTCCCCGCTCCAGCGGCGTCCGCTCACGAACCCGCCTCCCCGCTCCAGCGGCGTCCGCTCTCGAACCCGCCTCCCCGCTCCAGCGGCGTCCGCTCACGAACCCGCCTCCCCGCTCCACCGGCGTCCGCTCACAAACCCGCCCCCCCGCTCCACCGGCGTCCGCTCTCGAACCCGCCTCCCCGCTCCACCGGCGTCCGCTCACAAACCCGCCCCCCCGCTCCAGCGGCGTCCGCTCACAGCACTAACTCTATTTTTTTCTGATTCTTCTGACCTGAAACCTTTCCCTCTTTCCTCCATCTCTCTTCCCAGGTCCCTGCTCTTGCTCTCCTTTTATTTTCTCCCCTCCCCTCCTACGCAGGTTCCAGTTCACCCGCTAGCCCAGCAGCTCAATTCTTCTCCTTCTGTAACAGCTTTTTCCAACTGACCCTTTGGATGGATTCCAAGCCCCCTCCCCAGCTTGAGCCGCCCTCTCCTTGGCTGTCTCTTTCCCCAGGCCAGTATTCGGTCCTGCTGCACCACAGCTGCTAGTGAGGGTTACTACACTAACAAGCTCCTCAGCCAGCTCTTTAAAACTCTTGGATGCAAGTTATCCGGACCTGCTGATTTAAAAATACCCATCTTTAGTAGCTGCTGTTTAACATCCCACTGAGATACTAGTGGAATGGGAGCGAGCAGATCTGGCTGGGCTTGTAGCCTCCGCCTGACACCATGTGTGTGCGTGTATGTTTCAGCCCCTGTCCGTGCAGCTGCCGTCCCGCAAGTGGCTGCCTGGGGCCCAGCTGGTGAACAGCATGTGCGAGGTGATCGACAAGTACATGAGAGACTTCTCCCACGTCCGGAAACCCATCTTCACGGTACATGGCTTGCTCCCCTTCGGCGGGTGCATGCTGTGCCCTGGGAAGGGGCATGGTGCCGAGCATGCCCCCTGCACACTGGGGAGCTCCAGGAGGCATGGTGCCTCCCACTGGGACTGCACCCTCTGCATTGGCCCTGTGCCCGTGGGTGGGGGGGGAATAACAGGGGTGGGAGCAGGGCCAGTGGGACCCAGGAGGCTGACGGAGAGGAGCTGGCCTTTTGGGGGGGTCAGAGCAGTTGGATCCGAGGTTTTCAGGCTGGAGCTGCCCCTCTGCGGGGACCGGATGAGGTAGAACATTCCTGCGCCCTGGCTCCTTTCCAAGAAGCAGGTGACACTGGAGACAGGAGCTCTCTGCAGGCAGGAGCAGCCGTGGCACAAGGGGTGGCCCCCAAAGGATGGGCTGGGGAGCCAGGACTGCCCCCCACCCTCAGACCCTGCCCCCCACTGGCATGGGTAACAGGCAGCACAGCCCAGCCCAGCCACGGGGAAGAGAGCAGAGCTGGAGAGTGAGAGCAAGGGGGCTGGGGGGGAGCAGGGCGGGGCTGGAGCAAGGAGGGGAGAAATCGGGGGCGGGGGGCAGCGCTGGAATAACCCACCCCAGCTGTTCCTTCCTGGCCCCAGCTCTCCCCCACCCCCGGCCTCCCCAAATGCAGGCGAGGATGCTGTCCATAACCTTCGGGAGGCCTGCTGGGCTCCTGGGCTGTCCCAGCGGACGGGGCGTCGCACCTGCCTTGGGGAGATGCCCGGGGGTGGGGGGGTGGTCATATTTTTAGTGGACTAGCTTCTGGACATGAGAGAGACGAGCTCTCGAGCTCCCCAGGGCTCTTCAGCTTTGGGAGACCGCTCGGTTCACTGCCGGGAGACACCCCCGGCGCTCAGCCACCCGTTCCCTTCCCGAATCACACCCCCGAGTCAGTGCCACCCCTGGGGGGACCTACATATTCCTCCCCCCTCCTGTCGGGATCACCCTGCAGATTCTTGCCTCCTCCGTTAGGCCACCTAGCCAAGCTACCGTAGACATGTAGCCCTTCCACTCCCCCCAGAGCCGGCCCACCCGTCCTCGTCACACTCCCTCCAGTCCGCCCGCGGAGATGCCTAGGACGGAGCATCCTGCTGCTGGTGCTGCCGAGCAGTGCCAGGGGCTGCAGTGGCTCCCTGCCCTGGGTTGCCCTGTTGCCCTGCAGGAATCCCACTCACTCCACATTATTCTCCTGTCTCGTTGCTGCTGGTTACGGTTGCCCCAGGTCTCCCCGCTCCCCCCCCCCCCCCGCGTAGCCACAGCAAATGGCTTCGTGTCTCACTGTCTCCCGCTCTCCTCTCCTGCCGGGGTCTAGTTCCTGTTGGCCGAGAGCGAGCACCTGGTCATGAATCACTACGTGCGGGCGCTCATGGAGAAGAAGATGGTGTGCCGGAGCGCTGAGGAGCGGAGCCAGCTCTCCACCCGGCTGCACCAGGATGCCTGCCAGCTGAGGGAGCTTTTCCACAACCTGGTGAGAGAAGCTGCATCCCCAGAGACACAAGGTCAGGCTTGCGGGTCGGTATCGCCGGTGGGTGGTCACGGCGGCCGGCTGAGGTGGAGTCAGACGGAAATGTTTCAGTCACATGGGGGCAAGGGAGAGGGAATTATCTGCTCCCCCCCCAGTGGCAATTCATAGTCATTCACGCTGGCAGTGGGTGATTATGGGGCGAGGGAAAGCGTGTGAGAACAACTCTTGCCTGGTGGATCTAGGACAGGGTGGGCAAACTAGGGCTTGTGGGCTGGATCCGGCCCACCAGCTATTTTAATCCGGCCATCGAGCTCCCACGGGAGAGCAGGGTCTGGGGCTTGCCCTGCTCTGGCACTCCAGCCGGGGAGCAGGGTTGTGGTCTACTCCGCATGGCTCCCGGAAGCAGCAGCCACGGGGCTCCGCTCTGCGCGCTGCCCCTGCCCCAAGCGCCGCCCCCACATCTTCCATTGGCCGGGAATCACAGCCAATGGGAGCTGCAGGAGCGGCACCTGCGGATGGGGCAGCTCGCAGAGCTGCCTGTCTGCGCCTCCGCATAGGAGCCAGAGAACAGACATGCCGCCGATTCCAGGAGCCACTTGAGGTAAGCGCCGCCCGGAGCCTCCCCCCACACCTCAACCCCCTGCCCCAGCCCTGATCCCCCTCCCGCCCTCCAAACCCCTCGATCCCAGGCTGGAGCACCCTCCTGCACCCCAAACCTCTCATCCCCAGCCCCACCCCCAGCCAGATCTCTCACCTCCCCACGCCCCAAACCACCCCCCCAGTCCCGATCCCTGTCCCAGCCTGCAAACCCCTTGGTCCCAGCCCCGAGCACACTTCTGCACCCCCAAACCCCTCATCTCCATCCCCACCGCAGCCGGAGCCTGCACCCCTTCCTGCACCCCAACCCTCTGCCCCAGGCCTGATTCCCCTCCTGCCCTCCAAACCCCTCAGTCCCAGCCCGGAGCACCTTCCTACACCCCAAACTCCTCAAATACACAAAGTAACACAGCTTCAGCAGGAGAGCTTGAGACAGCCCTGCTCCAGACTATCCCATAGCCCACTGGATAGGGCACTCCTGCAACCTGGTAGACCCCAGTTCAAACCCCTCCTGGGGGAACTGAAACTGGATCTCCCATGTGCTAGGGGAGCATGCTACCCACTGGGCTTAAGCTGATAGGGCGGCCTCCGGCTACCTCCTCCTCCGGCTGTTTTCTGATACGAGTCCTCCTTTCCTTTTGCCTTTTATCAAAATGCCTGAAATCAAAACCAGTTTTTCTCGTTGGGTCAAAACGTTGCCTTTTGACATACCTGGAACCTTTCAATTGGTTCAGTTCGGTCGAAACTCTTCGGTGTCCATGACACAGATTCACGAATCCAAAGCGACATTGTTCAGCAGCTAACCGTTTTGGAGGCGTTGACTCACCTTGCCCCTCTCAACGCTAGGCTGAGCCAAGCGCTGGCTGCGGGAGGTTGGATCACCCCTCTCTTAGGCCTGGGAGGGTCAGGCATGGGCACATCAGCCCAGAGGGCTCTCTGTGGCCCAAGCATGGAGGACACACACTGAGTTGCACCCATGGGCGTCGGGCCTGGTTGCTGAGTGTGTCTGGTGAGTTCTCTCCAGCTGGTGCTGCGGGCCAGCATGCCAGCACACTGCTGCCGTACGGCTCCCTGGGGCGGTGCTTTGTGTCTAGCCGGCGCTTAATGCGCCCTGTGCTGGCTGGTTCCTTCCCGCAGGGCCTGGCCGAGAGCGAGCAGACCCTCGAGGTGATATTCGCCCTCCAGGAGCTCATCCGCCTCCAAGACCCGGCCTTGCTCAGCCTGGAGGTCCTGGGATTTATGACGAAGTACCCCGATATCAGGTAGCAAACCCAGCGCAGCGAGAAAGGCCCGTTACACTGGGGCGGCCATGGGGCGGTCCTGCCCTGCCAGTAGGGGGAGCTGCCTTCACACAGGCTGTCTCCAGTGTAAGCCTGAACCCCCACCCCATGGCACACGTCTGAAGCACCTTTCCAGTGGTATTCGCAATCCTGTTCATCCCCGAGAGCCACAGGGGCAGGGCCGGGCTCGCCTGTGGGCAGCACAGAGAAGAGAGTCACCAAGTCAGAGTGGCACAGACTGACAGAGAACTGCTCTGGCTCCTGGGGAGGTAGTTTTCACAAGAGTTTTGTGTTATTTCCAAATGTTGAACTTTAGGGCTTCCCACCCCCTTTCGTTGATTTTGGCCACGGAGCGAAATAAATAAATGACTGATGGCCGGGGAGGGGCGGAGGTGGAGCCCACCCTCTTGTTCCTTGTGCTACACTCTGACTTTTCCAGCGAAGAGGGCGGTTTGAAAACTCCCAGCACGGCAGAACAAAAAATGTAGGGAAAAATAAGAAAAGAAAAGACGTTTCCCTGAAGAGTCCCCACTCCTGCTTTCATTCGCTTGTGCTCAGGGGCCACAGGGCTGAAAGGAGAGAAACAAAATGGCCAACATTTGATATTCAAAATCAGCCCAAACCAGAACATATGGAAGAAAGATAAAGGGGTTTTTTGCTTTTGAAAAAAGTCTATTATTTAGTGACAAATGCTTGAGCTTTGGTTTGTGGCTTTGCTGGCCGGGCACTTCTCAGCCTGCCACAACACAAAAGACGTAGAACGAGGGACGCAGCCGCATGACTAGGGCCTTACCAAATTCATGGTTCATTTTGGTAAATCTCATGGTCATAGCATTTAAAACTCTTGAATTTCCTGGTTTGAGATATTGAAATAGTAAATTTCACGGTGTTTGTAACCGTGGGGGTCCGGACCCAAAAGAGGGTCACGTGGGGGGTTGCAAGGCAAGTGTGTGTGTGTGTGGGGGGGGGTTGTAGTGTTGCCATCTTTACTTCTGTGCTGCCTTCAGAACTGGGCAGCTGGAGCGAGGCAGCTGCTGGGCAGGAACCCAGCTCTGAAGGCAGCACCGTTGCCAGCAGCAGCAGAGAAGTAAAGGTGGCAATACCGCAGCCCCCCTACAATCAGGGCCAGATTTATACCTTAAATCTGCACCGCTACAGACTAGGGACCGAATGGCTAGGCAGCAGTTCTGCGGAAAAGGACCTAGGGGTGACAGTGGACGAGAAGCTGGATATGAGTCAGCAGTGTGCCCTTGTTGCCAAGAAGGCCAATGGCATTTTGGGATGTATAAGTAGGGGCATAGCGAGCAGATCGAGGGACGTGATCGTTCCCCTCTATTCGACATTGGTGAGGCCTCATCTGGAGTACTGTGTCCAGTTTTGGGCCCCACACTACAAGAAGGATGTGGATAAATTGGAGAGAGTCCAGTGAAGGGCAACAAAAATGTTTAGGGGTCTAGAACACATGACTTATGAGGAGAGGCTGAGGGAGCTAGGATTGTTTAGCCTGCAGAAGAGAAGAATGAGGGGGGATTTGATAGCTGCTTTCAACTACCTGAAAGGGGGTTCCAAAGAGGATGGCTCTAGACTGTTCTCAATGGTAGCAGATGACAGAACGAGGAGTAATGGTCTCAAGTTGCAGTGGGGGAGGTTTAGATTGGATATTAGGAAAAACTTTTTCACTAAGAGGGTGGTGAAACACTGGAATGCGTTACCTCGGGAGGTGGTAGAATCTCCTTCCTTAGAGGTTTTTAAGGTCAGGCTTGACAAAGCCCTGGCTGGGATGATTTAACTGGGAATTGGTCCTGTTTCGAGCAGGGGGTTGGACTAGATGACCTTCTGGGGTCCCTTCCAACCCTTATATTCTATGATTCTTATGCGCCCCTAGGCACAGCATCTTCAGTGCCCTGCCCCCCCCCACACTGACCTTCGTGTTTTCCATAAAAACGGAAACTTTTAACCCACTTTTAACTTTTAGGCACTCCTAGAATGCTGGTGGCCCTAGGCACGTGCCTACTGTGCCTAATTGGAAATCCGGCCCTGCCTACAATAGCTGGAGTTCATGGGGAAGACCAGATTTCATGGTCCATGACACGTTTTTCACAACCATGAATTTTGTAGGTCCCTGCACAGGACACCTGCAGGAAACAGATGATGCTGTGGTGTTCTCCCCTCAGTGCAGTACGCTTCACTCCAGGCTCTGCAGCACGCGGTCAGTCACTTCAGGGGGACCTCAGAGGTGTGCGAGGTGCTGGCCCCTCTGGGCTTGAGAGGAGATCCCACGTGTGAGCAGCATTGGTGAGCCCCGAGAGCCGAGAAGGTAGCAAGAGGTAAAGGGTTCGGTGTCTCAGTCTCTGGTTTCCTGTTCCCCACAGTGACGAGCACGTCTCCATCCTGCTGGATCTGCGGGGCGATGTCTCCAAGGAGGTCCGGAACGTGGTGTTGGAAATGATGGCGCAGAATCCTCAGTCCCTGCCCGAAAACTACCAGCCCATCTTCAGCAACATCCTGGTCCCGGCTCCGGAGCTCCCCTTCTGCCTTCGCAAGGGCAAGTGTGCCTGAGACACGCACGCTGCAGCCCGGCTGTCTGCAGCCTGCCCTGGCCAGCGTTGTCTCCGAATGACGGACCTCTGAGAGGCCCTGGGTGGGACTGGGCAGAAGCCCCGTCTGGGCTCCGGAAACGGGGCAGGGAAAGCCTGGGCATCAGCCCTGCTATGCAGGGAGGAGACGGGAGGCTTCCGCACCCAGTTCCCACTGGCTGACACCTTGGCACCTGCTTTGCTGGCCCAGGGAGCCCTCAGCCCACTGAGCCCCCGGCACCCTAACCGTGGGTGGGCTAAACCACCAGATTCAGCTCTGCCCATTCGGGTCTCCAGGCCTCTGCTCTGTGCTGCTTCCCAGCTGCCCCCTCTGCTCAGCCCTCCCAGCGTATGTGCAGCCCAGAGCCTGCGGAGGGGACAGGCCAGCCAAGGCTGGTAGCTTCACATGGTGGGATCACGGCAGTGGTGAGCAGAAAGGGAATTTCCCCAGGATTCCTTCCCCAGGTCCAGCCACAAGCACTTCCTCCCCGCCCCTCCCCACTCCCATGCCCTTCGCGTGCCCAAGGCAGGATGTTACCACGTGGTGCCAGAGGCCAGCTGAGAGCACGGCCTGACAGGTTCTGACTGGGCTGGGCAGAATTCAGCTAGTGGTTCATCATTTTGATGGAGAACATTGATGTTTAAGCATTTTTTTATTTTGATCTATTTAAATGTTCACAGCAGAATCCATGGAGGGTCAGATAATGGAGGCATCAGACAATAATTATTTAGCGACAGAGGACGTTCAGATTCCCCAAGTTAAAGCTTTAATGCCGTTTAACATGAACTGCCAACATCCCATGTCAGAATATACACAGTAAAGACCCTTTGATCAAACTCAAAGAAGAACTTCAGCCGCGTTGTTCTTCCTTTGCCGGTCGGTACAGTTTGATGATTATCGAGGGAAATGTTTTTCATTGGGGGGAGGGGTGCAGTGAAATCAATGTGTACTGACATTTCCCAGTACATATCGATTCCTTCCCGGCCTAGTTATAACACAGACAAATCCAAACGCTCTTGCAACTAGAGTTGCCAACTTTGTAATATATAAATCACACACTCCAGCCGGAGTGCCAGAACCTCCCCTGCCCCTCCTCTTTCCCCCCAAGGCCCCACCTCCCATTCACTCCTCTTCCCCCGTCCTATTCCCTGCCCGGGATCATAGGAATTGCAGTAATCAGAGCCAAGTGCAGAGTTTGGATGATCCATCCTGAAATAGGCAGTGTCCAGAATGTCATTCTGTTACACGCCACAGTCAGGGTAGGTGTCTCTCAGCAATGCAGCAGGGCGGAGAAAAGGAAAGAGCCACATTACATGGAGTAAAAGGAGGAAGTTCTCCCCGATGGACATGCTGGGTTTTCGTAGGGCGCTGAAATACCATTGCCAGGAGGCAGCTTTGTAAACACGAGCGATGCTCACTGGACTCCTACAGGTTTGTCAACATGTTACATTTGTTGTGGGCCACCTTGAGATGCTTTGCATTAAAATGCCGGGTAGCGACGAACAAACAAAAGGCTTTGTTGCAAATCACCCAGCGTGTTAAGGTGTGTTCTCAAACCCATGTTGGACGGGGGTCCACTGAGCTCACCTGTAGCAAAGCAAGTGTGCATCCGTCCGCAGCGAGCGGTGCTCTGCCAGAGCACACTGCTTTGCTGGCGACCTGGCTTCTGCCTGTGCGCCTCTTTCGCTCGAGGGGCCTCCCCTATGAGAGAAGGCTGGCTCTATGCCAGGCAGCAGGAGCCAAGGGCCAGGAAGGGCTGAAGGAAGAGGAGCAGCAGAGGGCCTTACCCACTGTTGTCTCCTTGCCACAGACCTAGGCTCTGAGGGACAGTGGAAGGGCCGGGGGCTTGAGGACAGCTCCCCTAGCAAGGATGCTTCCGGCAGAGGCTGTCATGGTGCCTGGCCTGGGTCACAGGTGAGAGGGCCAATCTCAGGTCAGACTGTCGAGAAACTGGGGAGATGCCCTCCCGGGTGGCATGTTCTGTGATTAGATGTAACCAAACCAGCAACAAATGTGCATTCATGGATCATGAGACTAGCTTACCATGGAGCCACAGCTAGTTCCCGGAGACACTCCAGCCTATATCGCCACCCAGACAAACTGCACTTCTGCCATGAAAGCCCCAAGTCCCCACCCATTAGGTTCTTCCAGCCCCAGGGAGCTAGTCACTTATCCCAGGTCAATGGATGCTCAGAATCGCACGCCAAAGACAAGGCTGACAGCCAATTTCTTTGGGGAACTAGCTAAAGATTTATTAGCTAAGAAAAAGAAAGGAACGTTAGTCAAAGGTTAAATCAGGTAAAATACATTACCGTATTACAAATGCAAGTTTGTAAGTCCAAAATGATACCAGGGGTTGGAAATCTGCTAGTTTTCTGTACGTCTCTCTGGGTGGCCCAAAGAGTTTTGGGGGATCTCAATCTTTTTGTTCAAAATCTCCCCTGTCAGAATTCACCATTCCAGCGATGGGTTAGGACAGAGAGAGAGACCTTTGTTCTCCCTTTTTATATCTTGACCCTTTTGGCTGGAAAAATCTTGGTTGTGTCGTGGGCTCAGACAGTTCCAGGGTGTCTGTGCTTTGCCCTCAGGCCTTCATATGAATTGCACAACTTCTGCATACATCCCGTTCGGGGTGTCTCTGGGAGTGACACGCAGAGGTTCTTGTTTACAGTTCCTTTGTTACTCCTGAAGAGCAACCCTATGGACATTTCTCAGACCCACAGCATGTTTGAGTTCCAGACATACCATTTTATAACTCCACCCACAATGTCAATACGCATGTTATAACAAGATACTAATACTCAGCAGATTATAACTTTTCCAGTGATGCTTCACAAGCCATACTTTGTACAAGAAGTATCACAATTTTCTAAAAGTGGTAACTGTATTATTGTAGATGGTCAGTGCACCTGAGACAGGATGGAAGAAGCCAGCTAAGGAGCCTGGCTGTGATGGAGGACGCTGGGGTATGGCAAGAACAAGACCTATAGGCATTGGGCTGACAGGGACTATGGTCTGGGACTTTTGTTAAACTGGCCCCAGGATGGGTATTGTTGAAGTCAAAGCCTGAAATGGAGTCCTTTGGGTTACCCAAGAGGAAACTGAGGGAAGGGGCCACTTATTACAGTGCCCATCCATCCATCAGTATCTTGGCACAGGGACACAAGAGGGTATAATCTCTAGTGCTCAGGAAGGATGCAGCTGGGACACTCCAGGGAGATCTGGCTGGCCAGCAGACACGCCAAGTATAATTTGACTGCACAGAACGGTACCTCGGTCTGCTCCCGACTATGAGGAGCGTGACCGAATCTTTGGTGAACATGCCATCACTGCCCCTGTTTGTTATGGACACCCCAACTGAACTGCGAGTCCTGGATGTGGGTGACCCAGAGCCTGGGGAACACTGAGCCAGATAGAGCCACAGTGGCCCCAGACCACCTCCTTCCAGAGCTGGAGGATGAGCCTGAACCTCCGGAGATGACCCAACCTAGGGCTGATCCGAATGCCGGTAAGTATTGAAATGATGCATTGAACTACACCGGGGTGGGGGTTATACGTGCCTGGGTACTGTACAGACACCGTCATGTTGGTCTAACTGTTCTCCGCCTCGTGGCTTTTACCCCCTCCCCTGGTGCTCAAAGGCCATGTCGGCCTCTCCAGTCCTCTTCATGGTCACATGGAACCAGAGCCAGCCCGTAACCTCGCTACGTCCTGCCCCACACACGCTGAGCCGGCTCCACCTGGTCGGCTCCCCACCCTCCACAAGACAGTGACATCGCACAGCTTAACATGGAAGAAGAGGGTTTTAGGTACAGGCACTTTTCTTGTAAATTACCTTCACCCCTCCTCCTTAGTCTTAATTTTTCACTAAACTGGCATGGTAAGGCCGAGGCGAGAAAGCCAGAGCGAGAGGCCCCCTGGGCTAGCAAGAGGTAGCCCATGTGCTGGAGCACACGGCCTGCTGCTCCCTTGCACAGCAGCGTGGTTGGTCAATCTTTTTTGTTTTAGTGTTAACAAAGTTCATCTTGGTGTATGACTCTGTACTAGTCACAACAGACACGTGAATCACATTTGTGGGTCTTGGACCCTCCCTTCTATGGGGAAGCGTCACTGACTTACCATCCACACTGACACAATAACTGCATCAAAACAAGCGCAGGTCTGTCGGTGCGTGGGTGGGGTCATGTGGGTGTGCAAGCGGGGGGTGCATCTGTCTCTCTGCCAACCAGTGGGGCCAGATGGATTGGGCGAGGTGATTTTGGCCCCTGCAGCAAAAGCTGTCACCTCACCTCTGCCCATCTCCTGCCCAGCAGCTGCTCCTGTCCTCCAGCCTCCAAATTAGTCCTATCCCACCAGTTCCCACATCAACTCTGCCCCCCTGACCCATCTCTGCTCCCCCTGGGGCTCTTCACCCCTTCTCCCAGGCTTGAGGGGGCTGCAGCAGAGCCCCCTGACCCTATTCCCAAGCCAGGTGTTGCAAGAAGGAGAAGGGGAAGAAGCGCCGTCCCATCCCCAGGGCTTATAGGGAGAGAAGGGGCAGAGCTACCCTTAGCTGCTGGGCTCGTTAGCTCCCCCGCCCCCATGAGAACAGTGTGGGCTCCTGAGGGGTGGGGAGAGAACGCTGCCTTTCTCCTGCAGCAGCCCTGATTTAATTGGGGATGGGTCCTGCTTTTGAGCAGGGGGTGGGACTAGATGACCTCCTGAGGTCCCTTCCAACCCTGATATTCTATGATTGGCTGCTCTACCCCAGGAGGCGGGACGGTGGGGCGGAACGAAATCCCATCACTGCCAGGCATTGGGAGACCCGGGCACGCAGTGCCATAAAGCTGTTTACAGCTCATCTCCCGGCCTCGCAGCGATCCCAGGCTGCTCCGGGGTCACTCCCTTGGTTTCTAAAGCCAAAGGGTTAAATGTCTAGGTACCAAACCTGTGTGTAGATCAGCCCCAAATCTCTGGGGGGAAATGGAGCACATGAAGGCCCCTGCATCCCTCTGTCTGCTGGGGAAGTGGAAGCCGGGGCTGCACAGCTTGCAGCAAATGGGATTGCAGAGCAATTGGGGTGAAAACCCGCTTGCTGCACTGGAGATTAACAGGTCATTTGTCAGCGATTCCAAGGCGAGCAGGGACCATTGTGATCATCTAGTCTGACCTCCTGCATAGCACAGGCCAGAGAACTTCCCCCAAATAATTCCTGGAGCAGAGCTTTGAAAAAAACAGCCAGGCCTGATATTAAAATTGTCAGACTGGAGAATCCAACACTTGGTAAATTGTTCCAATGGTTAAGTACTTTCACTGTTACTAATTCACACATTATTTCCAGTCTGAATTTGTCTGGCTTCAGCTTCCAGCCATTGGATCGTGTTAGACCTTTCTCTGTTGGACTCAAGACCCATTATTAAACATTGTTCCCCATATAGGTACCTATTAAACACACACATCAGAAGCAGGAGCAGCAAAAGCTCCCTAAAAGCGGGGGGGCCACCTGTGCCCAAACTGTGGCTCCCCGTGCTGCCCCCAAGACCCTGCCCCTGCCCTTCTTCTCCCTGAGCCCCTGCCCTTACACTGCCCCTTCCCCTGAGGCTCCACCCCACCTCTTCCCCACAAGACCCCACCCCCACTTGCTTTGCTCTGCCCCTCTCCCCTGTTGCTCGCCCTTACAGCTGGTAAAAAATAAAAGTGATGGGGCCATGGACCCCGGGCACCCCCTGTTCTGGTGCCCCGATCACAAGTTAGTCTCATCCAATACTTGTGCATAGGTACTGTCAGTGAAGGGGCATGCTGGAGGTAGCTCTTGCTGTGTTTGTTGAAACACTGGAGATGAACCTAGAAGCGGAGGAGCTCTGAAAAGAAAGCCATCTGGCTAATTCCGAACTACCCCCACTGAGCGTCACTTACCCGCTCTGATCTTTTCCCCTTCAGTGCTTTAGGGCACTGTCCTGGGCATGTTCGAACAAATCCTACATCCTGCCAGTAAAAGCACCGGCATCTAGTGACTGCAGGGCGGACAGCAGTAGCCTTCAATTGGGAAAGGTTAGAAAACTTCTCAAAAATACAATGAGCTCCCCAAAGGTGACAGATCCATTGGGCAGATAAGGGTCTGAGAGCATTAGACCAACTCCTTTTTGGGGGAAAGGGGGGCAGGAGTTCGCAGCCTGGAGGAGGAAGAAGCCACCGGATCCAGGGACTAGGAATGTACTCCCCCGACCCAGGAAAGTTCAGCTAAGTAGCAGCCTGGGGTAGTGCAAACCCAAGGCTTTGGCCCAGAGAGGCATGGCAGGAGCATCCACCAGGTGCAGAACGGGGTGCGTGAGTGAGGCAGAGGAGCCCCAGCCAAGGGCAGTGGACATCAAAGAAGCTCAGAGGAGGAGCTGTGTGACTCTTGTGTGTGTGGACACAGACACAGAGAGAGAGAGAGAGAGAGAGAGAGCTGTGTGCCTGTCTTAAAAGTACCAGTGAGCCAGCTGGAGCCCAGCTCAGGGGCTCACTCGTTGGCCATGGTGGGCAGCCCTCAGCCCTTTATAGACAACTGATAAATCCACTGGCAAACTTTGCAGCGCATGAGCAGCCAGCTGGCGGGCGGGTGGCAGGGGCTGGGGGAGACAAGGTGCGTGCACAAGAGTGACTGGGCTGGGGGAGGGCCTTGGGGAGGGGGCCGGCTGAGGGTGGGCTGGGGGCGAGAGGAATGCCTGCATGAGTGGCTGGCCGGCTGGCTCACGGCCGGTGGGTGGGTGGGGAGTCTGCGGGGAGGAGGTGCAGAGGCGTGAGCAGTAGGTGGAGGGGGTC